CGACTGAGGGTCTGCGCGCGGCCTACTGACCTGCTATTGCTTCGTAACTCCGCTCTTGTTGCCACTCTACATTTAAAACAAAAAAACTACATAATAAAACATACACCCGCCTTGTATTCTAATACCGACTCTCTCTCTAATTGACTTTTTAACGATTAACTGGAATTACGGTTTAACAATCACGACAGTGATACATTAAAATAATATTATTAATAACGTTAATGGTAATGGTAATGATTACCAGGCTGTCGTGAGTTGTTTACCTACGTGATAACTTTTAATGTATGAATAAATAAATAAATACCTGGATAAATAATTTAGAAAACAAAATACAAAGAAGAAATAATATTAAAATAGACGATTAAATAAATAAATAATAAAAAATATGACAGAAACATCGGGCCAGGGATGAAATCAATAAGCTCGATAGCCCGAGAAGCGTGTATTCTCGTTACCAAGCCCCCAAGAGTACATACACATGCTCTCGTGACAATTCTCCTTGCGATTTTTACCAGCTACCTACATATATTTATATTTATCCACATATCTATACACGACACATTCTTTTGTGTCATCCTTCTGGTAATGCTATGTATATATAAGTACAATCGAACTTTATATGAGTATAAAATATTATAACCGTGGCATGCTTGACAAAGTGCTCGCAGCCTTGGCCTCTGTCGAAGCCAATCATCCGTTCTAATAGACTCTTGGCATTTCTTCCCGCTGAGGTATGGTAACTGCTAGCTGCTAGCTAGTTACTGATGTCAAGTAACCAACCAACCTCATTGAAAGTTAACCCGAGTCTTTACCTGGAATATCTGAGACATAATACAAGTCAGTCCCTTTCCTTAATCAGCAGCCATACAGAAAAAAAAATTAACTTTAATCAAGTAAATAATTTTTAAGAACTTTATATATATTCTAGATTTGAGTGAAAAAATTCTCTAACTAAGAATTTTTTTTTTTTTGTTTAAATAAATTTTACTTTATAAAAAAATTTTTCAAGACAATTAAATTCTATGGTGATAAATATAGCAGATATTTAATAGTTTTTAGAATTTTTTTTAACGAATAAATTATGACAAAAAAAAAAAATATAAAAAAATAGACATGTAGAAATTTTAAAAAATTAAAAATGCAATTTTTTAAAAATAATGTTTTAGAACAAATTTTTTTTTTTAAAAAAATTAAAAAATTCTCTAGTGACTGCTAACTTTAATGTCATTTAAATTCTTCAATATTATTCTCTTGATTCAAGTTATTTTTTTTTTTTTTTCAGTCCACGTAATAACCGAGGTCCGATTTTCGTCAGACGTGAATTGTAAGACGAATTGAGTATATATTGATGATGACAAGGGATGAAGCTAAAGCTAAAGCTAAAGACTGATGAGATAGGTAAACCGATATCTCTTAAAAAGATTAAACTATGACGGATGCGGATGGCGCAGTAGCTACTCTCGTTCAATGACCAGCTCCAAGTACGCCTGCACTCAACTTGCACTCCTTTAACCGACCGGCTGGCGCTATGTGTACTCGTACTACTTTCAATACTACTGCTGCTGCTGCTGCTGCTTCTAAAACCAGAGCTTTATCCTTTGTTAAACTTTATTATCTAATTATTATTACTATAATCATTATTACCAGTTCTGTTAATCAGGAATTTAACTGACTTTAACTGCGAGGACTACCGAGAAGTAGGTTCCAAGTTGGATCAGCTGATAACTGCGATAGGGCAAAACAATTGACGTATTGTGCATCGATTGGCCTCTAGTCACTTGCCTGTAAGACTATTCACGATGTAAAATAATAATAAGTTATTCATAATGTCTATTACAATCTCTTAGGGCAGCGTAAATTTAACATATCGAATAAATAAATAATAGAGGAACTTTAACTTATAAGTCTGTGGTAATAAGTGTCGAGTATAGGCCGCATTGTAACAGTTACTGCAAATAGCCAGTATAGTAGTTTAGTTACATTTTCCTACTTTTAACTTTAACATTATTTTTCTTTTTTACAGCCCGTCTTTATTCATAACTTGTTAATACGAATTTAACTTTATTCTCTTACGCGTGTCGTGATCAATACGCGTCTTGTAAACCGTATTGTCGTATTGACCAGCGATTCGACGGTAGACTCATGTAGGAAGGTCAAAAGGTTGCGCCATTACTTCAAGAATAAATAAAATAACTAAAAAAAAAATAAAATATAATTATAATTTATCTTATAAATATAAAAAAGCGCAACGCAAGAAGAAAAGTTGTATGAAGAATGACACTGAAGTTAGCAGACGTCTAAAAATTTTTTTTATAAATTAAATTACAACTAAAAAGATATTTCTAAAAAATTGCACTTACAGTTTATCAAGTTTTTTACACGTGCAAAATTTTTTTTTTATTGTTTAATTGAATCTTTTGCAATTAAACAACTTTTAAAAATTTTAGAATGTCGGCTAACTTCATTTTGATGAAAAATATAAAAATACTGATTGATAAATATAAAAAGGGTACTTACACGACGAGTGTCACTTTTTCATACATATATAAATAAATATATTTACTTATATATTTATATATATATATATATATTATATATAATGTATGTATATATACAGTCGAGGTTTGATGCAGGAAAAAAGCGATACAGAGGAGAATAGGCACTGATGTTTTGGGGCGGGCTCTGGAGATATATCCGCGGGCCTTGGCTGGGTTTATTAATTCTTATATCTCCTTTCTTTTAATTTCATCAATTAATAATTTTTTTTTATCTAATTATTATTTAATTAATAAACAAAATCTTCCTCTTGCTGTTACTTAAACTTTACTCTTACGGTACACAACACTCAAGATTTTTCAGCACAGCACTTAATTAAGCAATAACATATATATATAAGAGAACAAGCACACTTTGTGTCCCAAGCAGTCCCCGAAATAATCCATTATTTCGTCCGTCACCTTCATCGCAGCTGCAAGGACCCGCCCCCTATCATACTACACGAAGGTGTAGTGAATAAATAGAGCATAAAACTCGGTTTGTGTTAACATTTCAGGCTCTCATCGATGTCTTGTCATTACTTTCACTCACCACCAGCTAATATGTCCATCAATTATCCGACAATCGGGCCTTATATCATCCACCAGTTAGCAGAGTTTTTCGTACGCATTACAGGCGAGAGGGTGGGTTACTGTGCGTGTTTATCAGATTAATTTTATTATTAAATATTTTAATTTAAATTAAATAAGTGAAAATGACACCTCCCACAGCAGTATCACGTCACAATGGCAATCCTATTTCAATGGATGATTAACCGAGTCTCAGTTTACACTGGAACTAAGTTCTCAAAGAGAGATTGTCTTTTAAACTCTAAAATGTCACGGACACATTTTTTTATTATTTTATTTTCATTTTTAATAAATTATTTTTAAACTTTTACTTTGATTAATTGCTTTCGTTTACGTTACGTTATCCATCCGTTTTCACGTATAGTCCTTGTTTTATAATAAAGTTGTGTAATCACCGCGTGTGTACCCCGAGCATTGCCTAGACTACGTTTTTATTAATTCACAAAAAATAATTCAACGATTATATATTCCTCCTGGTGATATTTTTATTTATTATTATTTTTTGTAGTTTTAATTATTATTATTGTTATTTTATTTATTATTATTATTATTATTATTATTATTATAAATTACTTGATTTATTTGTTACTGTTTTAAATGTCAAGTGTTTTAATTAAATAATATTTATTGAAATATATTAGTTTTAAACAGAGGCAGTCTTGAAGGTTGGTGTCCAAATCGCGGGGAGACAAACCGACCCGAGCACGGATGTTACTGCATCGTCCTGCGCCAACATCGCGGTGCGGACTTTCCACGAACTATATTACAACCCTCCCTATCCCCACTTAATTCTCCAACCACCCCGTGACGCATCCGCGATTCCAAATCCGGACGAATCATCCCCCACTCAAGCTACCCATTGATTTTATTCAGAACGTTTAATACACGTTTTCTCCAGTTATTTTTTTTATTCCTCAAAACTTCATCTCTTATGTATTATCTGACGCTATTCACCGATAGCTTCAACTACCCTCAAAAAATCATCGCTTTTTTTTAAGAAGAAATATATTTTTTTTTTTTTTTTTTTAATTTAAATAAACCCTGCAAAAAAAATTTTTTTTTTTTCATTAATAAATTTATTAATTGCTCTGAAAAATAATTATCAAAAGAACAACAAGCGCTGTCAGATAAATAGATGTTGTAAAAATAGTTTTAGTTAATATTATACCGAAGGGTTTGCGAATACACATCGGCGAGTGTGTGCTACGAGTGGATCAATGAAAGTCCGCCCCTCCTTTAGTAGTGCGAAATCCTCCTCCTCTTCCGACTTCATCCACCACTTCCTCCTATTTATTCCCCGCTTTTCTTCAGAGTTGCCTGCCAGGAATATGGTACCACACCGCGCCACTTTTACTATCTTCACCTGAAAACGTTGATCACACACCCCCCAACCTCACCATACCCAGTAAGCTCGCCCATACACTTCTGATGGACATCACTCACACGACTCACGACATTCTTCGCAAGTTGTTTCATGGCCACTTGATTACTTTGTACTTCATTAACATTATTATAATTAACATCGAGAAAGTTTTTTTTTAATAATAATAAAATTTATTTATTTTCAATCGATGTTTTAATATATATAAATGCTTATAGTAATGCATTCGTCAGCCTTTTAACGTAATCATACAAAAGGTGTCATGAAAGTTACTATGTAAAAAATTAATTTACATTCCCTGTTTAAAAATATTCATTGAAAAAAATTTACTATCATGAGATTTGAATTTTTTTCAATAATTTTAATTTCTCAGTATGTATCTATAGATACATAATTTGCAGAGCGAATTTTTTTCAATGAACATTTTTAAACAGGGTTATCTTAACTTTATAAATATCAATTAATTCATTAATTTACTTATAATTAAATTATTTTCAAGACTCCACTAGCCTACTGGACTCTCTTCTGGGCAGTCTCCGGATACAGATGTAAATGCCAGCAATTGACATTATTAATAACGGCAAACCGACTCCTATGGATATTATTAAGATCACCAAGTACGAAAATTGTTCACCTGGTGGATTTCCGTAGCCCACGAGGAATGTCCTATTAAAAAGAAAAAAAAAATTATTAATTAATAAAGAAATTTTATGAAGTAATAATTAAAAAAAAAAAATAAGTACCAGGTAGCATAATTTGTTTTTTTGTAGAATCCATCTCCAGATGAACCAATCGTTACATTTATTTTATTTATTAATAAATTATTGCTATCTCCATAAAAGGCATATAATATTGAATTATTGGTAATATTTGAGCAATTAATTATATTGTAAAAAGAGGTTTCTGTTGAAGCAGTAACATCGCGGTGTGATGTCAAATAAGACACAGGTCTCCATTGTAAGTAACCTGAACCACTGAATTTATTTTTATTTTCTGGAGTTTTCATTTCAATGGTCTGAAAAAAATTTTTATTATTTAATCATTTGTTTATTTATTTAAACGCCAATTGGCATTATACACGGAAAGAACAAGATGACATTGGATATCATCCCAGATTATTACTATTATTATTATTTATTAACATATGCCAAGGAACAGGCTGTATGGCAACTTACATAATTTTATTGTGTATACATTTTAATATTATAATTATACTAAGTGAAAAAAAATTTCAGATAATAGCTAGTATAATCCAGATATCACGCAGTATAATCTGGATTTTTCTAGCATCAAATAAAATTTACTTAAACCAAGAAAAATTTTTTAGTTTAAGAATTTTTTTACTCAAATCAAGAAAATTAAATTCTTCAAAATTATTTACTTGATTCAAGTAATTTTTTTTCTGTGTACAAAAAGTACCGATTGAGAAAGAATGTACTTAAAAATTAAGTCTAAAACATAAAAATTAAATATAAAAATTCTGGTTCGGTAATTGGACAAAAATAATTTATTAAATAGTAATAATTAAAAGAATTATTAATAATATTGCAAGATATATTTTTTGAGATTGAAAATTGGATTAAAATTGAAATTGGAATTTAATTAATTTAAAATTTTTATTAATTGTTAATTGTGAATTATAATTACCTCAAATATTCCAGGAGTGTATTCATCATCTAAGCTTTTTTTCGTATCAATTGACATTCTTGTACTAGAATCTCCTTCACTAACAACCATAAGCTCAAGTCCAAATCTACTTTTGTCGAATGACGAATTAGTGCGAAGATGGTTGATTATAAAATCAATCTGCGTTGAATTTTCGGAGTGTAACATGTGCGGAATTACATCCGAGTGTTCTAATGTGCAAAATCCATTTAAAATAATTTCAATATTTCCCGCTCTGGTAATATTTAATTCAGGATCTGTATAATTTTGTCCTATCATATCTAATTCCACAAACTGATTACTCTTTATGCTGTTCTTTCTTGTCCAATTAAAATATTCTGGATTTAATATATTTATATCATCATTTTTTACATTGTCTATCGATGCCTTATCATATACATCGTTAAATTCTATAATCTGTAAACAAAGACAGTATTTAATAGAGTATTTTTATGGTAATGTAATAAGTAATCAATTAATGATAAAGTAATTAGAGTACAAACCTTTTGAATAACTAACCCAAACGTATAAATAGGCTCCTCAGTAAAATTAATAGACTTTGGCTGTCTAGTTAAATATCTATCCCATTCAATATTCAATTTAGCAGCTGGGGAAGTTACTGCTAAAAGAACTGACGGATTACCGACGAAATCCCATAAGTAATGCAGAGTATCATTAGGTCCTTCTGCTTTTAAGTGCAAAGTTGTTAAACCCATTTCATCGCATAGAATCCCGCATCCTGGGTTGAGCTCATACTTAAGCTGGAACAAAATTAAATTACACTGTTAATGAATTAAAAAAGTTTTTATAATAATAATAATAATAATAATAATAATAATAATAATGTGATAGTAAAATAAAAATAACAATGTGTGCTTTTTGTTTCTATAGTGACAGCCTTTCAAGGTTTAAGCTTTAAAATTATATTATTAACCTCATAAAATATTTTTAATGTTAATTAAAATTGTTTATTTAGCGCAATTGTAATAAAAGAAATAAAATAATCCATTGGACTTTGATAAATCATTGATCTACTTTCTTAAAAAAAATAAAACAAAGAAAAATATATATTTAGACAACTTACGACTCTTGGAGATCCTGAACACGTATTTACAGTAATAATAAATATTAAAAAATAATAAAAATTCATTTTAAATATTAATTTTAGTAAAGATAAAAACAAACTGTCACATTATTGTGTTTTAAATCTGGAGAATGTCTCGTTGATTTTTTTTTATTAGTCACTTCACTATTATCATTTGACAGTTTGTACAATACACACACTATTGCTTGTAATTATTGTTACTCATGTAGATATATGTGTATACTTACAATGAGCTACTATAACATTTGTCAGGTCATGTGTTTTGTGTATAAAACAAAATAAAACATTGAAAATATTTTTCATATTTTCCGCTAGGCAGCAGCATTTCCCAGCCCCACAATTTCAGAGTCGACTTTTACATATCGATCAAAGAACAACCGCGTAATTACAAAGCATGATTATTTTAATTATTATACTTTTTTATGATTTACATTTTGATAACCGTCACGGATAGTCAGAAAGTTTTAAAGAACTCGCAATCTTAAAATTTTTTTTGCTCTAATTTTAATTATTATTTCTTCTTGATCCATTGTTGAAACTCTACAACATAAAAAAACAAATCAGTATTTGTTGACTTATGATTATATATTTTTATTCAATAATTAAGTACTCACTGACATGTAACCAGGCAATATTGTAATACTAAAATAATTTTTTAAAAATTGCAATTTTAATTTTTTTAAATTTCTACATGTCAATTTTTTTTTTCATCTTTTTTGCCGAAACTTATTTGTTGAAAAAAAGATTAAATTTTAATAAATATCTATGACAATAAAGTCAGCTGACATCTAAAAATTTTTAGAATTTTTTTTATTGAAAAAATTATTAAAAAAAAAAATTAATTGAAAAAATTTCACATATAGGTAGAAAGTTTTAAAAATTTAACATGCAATTTTGTAAAAATACTTTTTTTTGTTCTTATTTAATTAATAAAAAAAAATAAAAAATTGTTGGACGTCGGTTAATTTTAATATCATTAAATATCTGCTAAATTAATTTTCATCTTTGACTTTTTTTTTTAAATTTATTAAATTAAAACTAAAAAATATTTTTTAAAAATTACAATTATGATTTTTCAGGTTTTTTATCCACAAAAATTTTTTTTTATTATTTACAATAATTTTTTCAAAGAAAAAAAAATTATAAAAATGTTTAGATGTCGGCTAACTTAATTTTCATCACAATATTTATTTATAATCCAATAATTCCCAACTTGATGACTTGTCATTGTTTTTATTAATAATAAAAATTATAACAATTGAAATATTATTAAGAAAAAAATCACTTATTGTTATTTAACCAATAATTATCAATAATTAATATTTTTTAAACTCCAAATGCCGGTAAATGTATGTAAAGTATGTAAATAAAAAAATAAGAAAAAAAAAAAACATTGTTACCGAAGCGCCATCATTTACAGTAACGGCACCAGTTCCTTTGGACGTAGTTACCTTGCGCGCATATGTTATATTGTCATATGAGTGTTACCAAACTCCAAAATTTTAATAACTTTATATCCTAACCCATTTTTAATGATATAATAATAAATCACAATTTATTATTAAAAAATAATAAAAAAAAAAAGTGAAAAGAAGAAATATCAATAATAAAATGTGCAATAAAACATTTTTATAATTTTATTAAATTATTGACGTATGTCAAAAAAAAACTATCATGTAAAAATAGATTTTTAATTATAAATTATTTTTTTTTTTTACAAATTTATTAATTACATAAATTAGGATTTTAGATTAGCGTAAATGTCATGTGTGTTCAAGAAAAATAATTGGTGTGAGTGCTAAATACTAAAATTACAATCTATACCAATCAGGGAGCTCAACGTGTATGTGTCTTTTGTATGTCATTTAAAAAGGAGTACGTGTCGTTATTTCATCCAGTAATGTAACTAAAAAATATGCTAAATAAATAAGTCAACGTGATATCCTGTAACGACGATAAATAGAGCCAAAAAACACGAGCGCAGTCATCTTATCATAAGTTTAATATTTTTTTATCAATCTCCAAGAGCGGTACAAGTAGAACAGCTGATTCAGCGGCTGGTCAGTCCGTTATTATTATTATTATTTTTTTTTTTAACTTGATACAGTAATTTATCAAAAAATAACAACAAAGCATAATCAATAATAATTGTTATTGTTACTCCAAAAACAATTGGTTTAAAAACTCGAGCTAAAGACATTTAATAAATTGACAAATGTTGAGATAGACCGGCATGTGATCAAAAAATTGTTAAATGTCAAGTAGAGTTAAAAAAAGACAGGCTATGATGTCCACGTATGCACAGACAATTGTTTATCATAAGTGATATTGATAAAAGAAGTTGAAGTAGCGGCTAGGGTCGACAGACGTTACGCTTCAATGCGTTTATTAAATTGTAAATAATTATAAAAGTAGTAATTAGAATATTTAAGATGAAGCCGAGCCATAAATTTGTATTTCTGCTGTGGTTAGCATTCCTGATGCTCTCCACCGCGGAACTCACCAAGAATAAGGAAGAAAATAATAATAGTAATGAAAAAAAGTCTCCAAGGCTACAACAACGCCAGCCACAAAATAATGTTCCAGAGACGCCTATCATAGTTGAAGAAGATATGGATGACAGTGATAGCGATGATAGTATTGTTAATAATGATGATGATAGTTTGACTGACTGGGAGAATGTTCGTCAAAGATTACAGGAGCTCAAAGCCGTTCGAGATTCAATTCTTGATTTAGTACCAGTGACTGATTCATTTCTTACAGATATCACCACAAAGCAATCTAAGGAAAGCGATGAAGAATCGCCTGCGTGGGAAGAAATTGAGGAAGAAATTATAGAAGATGATCAGGAAGAAGAAGAAAAAGTTACTTTGACACCTGAACAACAAGAAGGTATTGAAAAAAATTTTATTTATTTGTATATTGATAGGAGGATTTTTTTAACTATTAATAATTTAATTTATTTGAAGACAATTATTTAATTTATTAAATATTTTTTAATATTCAATAAATATTTATTTGGGAAAAAAGTACATTAATATTATTAAAAGTACATAATAAATATTTTGTTGAGTGAATTTGATGAATTTGTTTGACTTGCAATGTCATATGATATGAAGATTGTTTATAAAAAAAAAAAAAATCATCTTTATAAATTATTTGCATTAATTATATTACATTATTATAACGTTTATTGTAAATACCAAGTTCTATCACAGTTTATAATTATTTTTTATATTTTTAAATAATAAAAACATTAATGTATTTAGTGAATTATTATCATATATTCATGAATTCCAGCTATATGGTTATAAAAAGTGTAAAAAAATTTTTATTTTTCCTTTTTATTTTAAATAAATATTTGTTAAAAGTTAAAAAATATTCATTACTTGTTAATAAATATTAATTAACAGTCAATAAATTGTAATTTCAAAACACAGTAACTAACATTTAGAAATTTAAAAAAATTTTTCTTATTAAAAAAAAAGTTTACCTGCCAAATTGATGAAAAATTTGATTTATGAATAGAAAATACTTGATTATAAATATTTTTAAGAAAAAATACTTGAAATTAAGGTCTAAAAGTTATAAAAAATGCAGCAATATTAAAAAAAATTAGGTATAAAAATTTTGCAGTTACTGTCTTTTAAAATTGGGCAGCCGAAATGACTTATTAGCTTAATAAATATTTGTTAACAGTTAAAAAATTATTTATTAACATTAAATAAATAATTTATTAGTTTATTTAATGTTATTAATTTAAAGCTTATTAAATATAAAGTGTAAATTTTATTAAAAAATAATAATTTAATTTATTTTTTAGCTGAAGAAATGTTCAACAAAGCACAGAAGTTATTAAACGCCACCAGGAGTAATAAAGCTGAAGCTTATAAATTGATAACTGGAGCGGCAACGCTAGGACACGCTGAAGCGAGATCAATGTTGGCATGGGCTCAGTTACTAGGTACACAAACGGGACTGCCTTCAGCTAGTCAAGACATTTCAGCAGCTCTGCAAACATTCAAAGAGCTAGTGGAAACGGGACTGCCGTCGGCGCATATGGGAATGGGTTTTTTTTATGCATTAGGTCTGCAAGGAATTAAAACTTCCCAAGCGAAAGCTTTGTTACACTATACCATCGCAGCAATTGGCGGAGATACTCGAGCACAAATGGCAGTCGGCTACAGGTACTGGGTAGGAGTGTTTACTCGTCCTTCCTGCGAGAGTGCCTTGAGTTACTATCGAAAAGTAGCGAATAAGGTGGCTGATCAAGTGACCTTGAGTGGTGGTCCAGTTATTCAGCGGACTAGGTTACTTGATGAGCAAGAAAATCCAGAGTTCAACTCGGGAATCCTAGATGACGACTTGATCGAGTACTATCAGCTGCTCGCGGAACGTGGTGATGTACAAGCCCAAGTTGGGCTTGGACAACTGCACTATCAAGGCGGTAGAGGAGTTCCTCTGGATCATCAGCGGGCTCTTGATTATTTTCAGCATGCTGCTAATGCTGGCAATGCTGTTGCTATGGCTTTTTTGGGAAAAGTATGGAGCTTTTTTATAAAATCTAATTTAATTTTTTATTTATTTTATTAATTTAACATTTATTTTTTGATAGATTTATTTGGAAGGAAGTGACATTGTAAAACAGGATAATGATACGGCTTTAGAATATTTTTCAAAAGCAGCGACTCACGGTAATCCTGTGGGGCAAAGTGGGTTAGGATTAATGTATTTGTATGGTAGAGGAGTGAAACGCGATACCACAAAAGCTTTGCAATATTTTAGCCAAGCTGCCGAGCAAGGTTGGGTTGATGGACAATTACAATTAGGCAATATGTATTTCAGTAAGTATTTAAAAAAATTTTTATTAATAATAACTAGCTATAATAACTATGGATTATAAAAATAAATAAAATTTTGCTTTATTAAATAATGACTTTTGTTAAACTGCACTGTACTTTTTTAACTATTGACATTTTTAAAGATATAAGCTCATCCCGATGTTACACTCATCAAGACCTTTCATTTGAGTACCTACATGCATTTTGATATATTTTTCATACATATATATATATATAATATATATAAATATATGAAAAATTGATGTGGGTACTCAAACAAAAGGTCTCAACGAGTGTAATGTCAGGATGAGCTTATATATCTTTAAAAATGTTAATAGTTCACAAGAAACAAGGTCATTTCTTAATTATGTATCTAGAGATAGAGTATTTTCGAATGCAGCCTAAATCCTTATTATAACCCATTTTATCATATAAATACATGGGTCACAAAATTTTGCTTATTCTCTTAATATGAATTAAAGTAAAAAAAAATACTTACTAACTATAATTTATAAAATATCTAACAGGTGGAATAGGCGTAAAGCGTGATTATAAAATGGCAAACAAGTACTTTAACCTCGCAAGTCAGTCTGGGCATGTACTGGCGTTTTACAATTTAGCTCAGATGCATGCTACAGGTACGGGGATGATGCGAAGCTGTTCAGCAGCCGTTGAGTTATTTAAAAACGTCGCCGAGCGCGGCAAATGGAGTAATCAATTAATGACAGCACACGCTGATTACCGAGAAGGTAGAGTCGATCAGGCATTCATTCAGTATGCTCTCCTCGCGGAAATGGGTTATGAAGCGGCTCAGAGCAATGCAGCGTATATTCTGGATAAAGGCGAAGTAGGAATTTTGACTCCTGATGAAGGGCTCAAGATGGCACTGGCTTTCTGGGCACGGGCCGCTGCTCAAGGGTACTCAACAGCTCAGGTAAATTATTTATCAAACACCTTCTATTAAATGAGTAGTTTATTAATTGATTAATTAATTTTTTTCAGGTAAAACTTGGCGATGCACATTACTATGGAAGAGGAACGAAAGTTGACTACGAAGCAGCTGCTCGTTATTACAGACAAGCGTCTGAGCAGCAGCAAAATGCTCAGGCAATATTCAATCTCGGTTACATGCACGAGCGCGGACTTGGTCTTGCACAAGATCGACATTTAGCGAAACGCTGTTATGATTTAGCAGCTGAAACGAGCCCTGATGCGCGAATCCCCGTTGCTTTGGCTCTTATAAAACTTTATTTTCTATTTGGTATTGATTATCTGAAAGAATTCAGTTTCAATGAACATATGGCCAAGTGGGACCAGATGCTAGGACAAAATTGGGATCTATATGTGATTGGTTTATTAACAGGGATGTTAAGTCTTGTTATTTACTTCCGTAGGCCACAGCCTCCTCAGCAACCACAACGAGGAGCTGGTGCTACACCAGCGAGACCCGGAACTGGAGTGGGAGCTGGAGCACCAGCAGCTCCAGCTGCACCAGCTGATGTTCCTCCTGTTAATTAATTGATTTTTTCTACGTTTAACGTCAATTTTAATTGAATTTACACACGTGTATAGTGGTTTCACGACTATTTTTTAGTTTTAATTATTTAATAATTAAATTAAACGTGCTAACGTACTACTCGGCTGTTGAAAGATTAATATTTTTACTCTTTTTTTTTTCTTAACTTATAATTTTTTTCCAGTGTAATTGCAATTAAAATTGACTTAAATCTTAATTCTAAAGATAATTAACGTCAGATTATATTAGTTTGAAAAACTAATTGTAATTAAGCTCTCGTATCTCGACGTTACCAACTAAAATAAATAAAATTATTGTCAAGAACCAAATACCTGTTAATGACTGAAGTTTGTATTATGAAAAAATGATAGAAGAGTGTAGAAAAAAAAATAAATGAATAAATTCTTATAATAAAATAATCTTTTTATTTTATTATCTGTAAAGTTTAATTAAAAGTTATAGGACGTCTGAGTAACGATTTATTTGCCATAGCAACCAAGAAACAATAATTTGAGTTCAAAGTAACCTTTGTAGTAATTTTTATTTTTCTTTATTAGATTTTTTGAGAGTAATATTGAATATTGTTTGGATTTATTTAATTAAATATTATGCCGAAGAAAAAAAAAAAGGGAGATAAAGAAAAAAAAGTACGAAAAAAATCAAGCATCAGCGAACGTGACACTGTATTTTTTGAGCAACAGATTGTTGACAATAATCGAATCTTAGCTAGGTAATTGTCAATTATTGGCTTGGATAATTTGATACTTATTATATAACGTGTTATTAATTGTTTTCAGAGTCCGTGGTCGTAATGAATTTCTCGAGGCTGAAACTGAGACGCTAAAAGGCAAACTAAGCCAACTGGAAGAAGACCGCTCTGATGTAATTGCTCATTTGAAGAGAATTTTACACCAAAAGACTGAAGAAGCACGAGAGTTGAGCGAACGGCTCTTGGCTATGGAGGAATTACGTAAAGAGGAACAAAATCAATTTAAAACTAAAGAAAATAACATGTTACAAGACTATCATAATATGGAAACTACTCTTAACGCTGAAGTTAAATTAGTTGGTATGAAAAATAATTAGGTAAATATTTACAAGTGGGGTCAATAATTTTTATTTTCATTTTTTTGAACGAAATTTTTGTTTGATTTCATTGATATATTTTTTTTTTTTTGAAAAATACATAAAAAAAATTAACAATTAAAAAAAAAAGATGATTAACAAATTTTCAAAAAAATTTATAAATTTCTCAGAAAATTGTGATATTCAACTTTTTTTTTAATTGTTCATTTTTTTATGTAATTTAAAAAAAAAAAATTAATCAAAAAAAGATAAAAAATAGAAATTTTATCCAAAAACATGAGAGCCAAAATTTTTTCCAACTTTTGAAGGCAAAAAAGCTATCAAAATCTTTATTTTTTTCTTTCATGACATTTTTTATTATAAATACGTCATAAAAACGAGCAGAATAAAAAAAAATTGAATATGTTAATTTTTCACCTAGATATGGCCAAAATAGGGTTGACCCCACTTGTAAATAATTACCAAAAATTATATTAAATTTTATTTTTATCAATATTATAGAAATTTATTAATCTTATTATTATTTTAAGCTGGAAAATTAAATGCATTAGAGGAATGGAGAAATGCGCGTGCTGAATTAACTCAAAAGTTTGAAATACAGGAGCAACAAATGGCTGAACAAGAGCAACGACATGCTGAAACTCTCTACGAAACTGAAAAGTCATTAATTATTGGTAAAGCCAAGTAAGTATTTTCTATTTATTTTTGCTAATGTTTGTTAATTTATTTATAAATTTATAAATATTTGGGTAAAAATTAAACTAGGATGCAAAAAGAAACAGAAGAACGTTTAAATGAGCTTGCATTAAAATTTCAAGAAGCAACAAATCTCCGTATTGCTGACGCAACACATCGAGCAGTTCGAGAAAATGTAGCTCTGCATTTGGAATTAGACAAAATGTTGAAAGTTTGTGAGGAACTGGAAGATAAGACACAGACTTATAAAGATAAAGAGGAGAATGCACGTCTACGTGCATCTTTGTTTGAAAAGGAAGCACAGATTGCTCTCAATAAAGTTCTCGAGAGGAATAAAATTATACAGTCTTTGCTAGAGGAGCATTTAAGCATGTCACGGGTGAGGACTAATAATATGCGGATAAGATCTCAGGCTGCGAGCAAAGAGGAACTTGTGAAATTGTATGAGGATCAGTATAGTGATGATTTGAAGAAAAAAGAAAAAATAGAAAAAAATATTATAGAAGCTGAAGATTCGAGGAGAAGTATTTTGGAACAAGTTCAAATTGATAATAGACGGATGAAAAAACTTGGGGAGCTTTTGGAGACTGTTAGAAATTTAATTACTGAATTGACGGTAAAAACTAAATCTGTTGATTGTAAAGTTTGTGAAGTCGATGAAAGTTTTAAAGAAAAACTTATGAGTATTTATAAATTGTTAGAAAAATTAAATGCTTCCACTGAAATAATATCTGAATAACAGTTTTTTTTTATTGCTTGAATTCAGCTTTTTATCCATTTTTTTTTTTTTTTTTTTTTATATTTATTTTGACTATTATTTGTAAATTAAATAATTATGGAGAAAGTTGAAGAAGCTAAACAGTCTGTAATAATTCCGAACAATGTTGAAAGAACTTTTTATGAAATTACTATTGAAGATATCAAGAAAAGAATTGAAAGGTAGTGTACTAAATATTTTTAATTAATTATTGATAAATTTAATTAAATACACTGATGAATTTTATAGGTTGGAGACTCGTAATGAACAACTAATAGAAATTCAGGAGCAAGTTAAAAATGACTCAACTTCAACCGATGTTAATACGACAAATGAAATAGCACAGCTCAACAGGGATTTGTCAGTTGAATTGAATAAAATAGCAAATGCGCAAAAAGCTATTGATTTATTAAATAATCAGCGACATGAAGAACAGAATAGACATGACAGTAAAGTTAATTTTATCAAACAGATGCATGATAACACGCGAAAGGAACTTTTGTGCCAGATAAAAATCTCAAGTATTTGTTATTTATTAAAAAAATTTTTTAAAAGTATTAAAAATATTTTTTTTAAGATGCTAAAATAAACGCCTTGGAAGATTTTCATAATAATGAAGAGTGTATCAGAGAAAAAATGAGAAAAAACGATGATTTTTTAGTGGAAAAAGAAGAAAAGCTAAAAGCGAAATTTAATCAACTTGATATTGCATTTAAAATATTTCGTGCTAAGTAAATTAATTTTTTTTTGTACTTAATTAAAATGTAATATTTAAATTACTCTTTTTTAGATTGATGGACGATTTGAAGATAAAAATCTTCAAGCTGTCCGAGTCATTAGCGAGTGATAATTTAAAAAAAATTCCTCATTCAATTAATAAATTGTTCCATGAAAATGCTGCAATTCGCGATGAACTAGATCTAATGAAAATTTACATATCTAATAAGAAAAACTCAAGTTTGATTACAAAGTACATAATTACTTAAATAATGACATTTAAAAGTTTTTTTTAATCTAAATTTTTTTTAACAGAAGTCAAGAAATTTCTATTCTCAATAGCAAACAGGATATAGTTAATCATTTGTCTGCTTTAAAATCACAAAAAAGACTGATTGAAAAATTTTTAGAAAATTCGGAAACAGTTATACCTATTTCTGATAAAATTCTTAGCGACTACGATGCTCAAGTAGTTAAATTACAGACTGGAGAGACCGATTCCGAGGAAAAATTAGCGCAACTAAAGTATTCGCTATGTTTTAAAACCTTTCAGCTCACAGAAGCACAAAAATTACACAATAAAGTTTGTTCGAACATTAAAAAATATTCTGACACGCTGTATGATATGAAATATGCCGTAGCATGTGCTCTTGAGGTTTAACTTATCTTTTACTTTAACTTATCAAAATTATAATAATTTATACTTACGTTTATTTTTCTATCAATTTAGATTGAAAATACTGCGCCAGAAATTTCTTCTTTAAAAGTAACCCAATTTATCAAACACTTATACAATTTATCTAAATAAAAAACAAAATAATTAAAAGCAAATGATCTTTACTTAAATAATTATTAAATTGCCTGCAATAATTAATGTAAAAAAAAGTTTATAAAATTATTTATTTTTCTTAACTTTCGGCATTGTTATTTTGTGATCAGCTTTAATGAACTTTTTAACCTTTGCCTTGTTAAGTTTCCTGTAAAAAAAATATAATTAGTACAATTTACAATAAAAATAAGAGTATAAAAATAAAACTATAAATACGTACAATATACGATTACTTGGAGCAACGATACTCCTCTGCTGGAGCGACTTGAAGCGATCACTGAGTAAATTTGTCGAAGGTTTAGTAGAACGTAAATTACCCTTAAGCTCATGGCCCATTTGAAAGTCAATCTCTGGCTCTTCGTACTTATTCTTGGACAAGACTTTGGGTTCAAGAGCTTTTTTGGCCTTTAATTTTTCTCTTAGCTCCCGTAGCTTTTGCTTCTTGCGTTCCTTGGCATCCATACTTTTTTTCAACATTCTTAATCTGTATAAATCACTGACTTTCTTCTTCTCCATTTTGCCCTTTGCCAAATCTAATTTCAACTTTCTCTGTTCTTTTTGCTTACGTCTTTGCTTGAGGGTTTTTTTTTCTTGTTTTTTCTTGGATTTTGGCGTATCTAGAGTATTTTCATCATCATCATCATCATCATCATCATTATCATCACCAGTCTTTTTCTTACTATCATCTTCATCATCATTTGGTAATCCTTCTGACGATTCTTTCAACCAATTTTTCGTTTGTTCTGCAGGCGATACCTATAAATTAATTTTTTTAATTAATAACTATAATAATAATAATATAAAAAATTGATAAAAATATCCAATAAATTATTACCTTTTTAAACATTTTGGTAGTTACTCTCTCAATATGTTTTTCTTCTTTTATCAGTTTAATTTCTTTTTCCGCAACTTTCCTCAATAAATCCTGATGATCTTCATACGATGGATTGTAAGACAAACCAGGATGCGGAGCTTCAACCGCCGGCAAGACAGAAGTTTTTTTATAAAGAGAATTCGGAATCTTGCGTTTATTCAATCCGCTATTCGCCAGAGTATGTCTAACAGTATCTGAGCTCAACCACTGAGTGTCCATCACCGAGGACATCTTCGTCACCTGTTCAGGAGTAATTTCCCAGGCGTCCAGGTTATATTCACCACGTTTCGGTCTGTTTTTTCTCCTGGCTTCCTCCAGACGTTTATTTTGTATAGCATCCCGTTCTTTCAACTTCAGCTGACCGTTCAGCCGCCTCAGCGCTTCAATACGCCGAGAGACCGGATTCTTACGTTCCTCTGGCGTTCTTACGCGATTACGCTTAGCGATTGGATCAGGCACTGCTGATGTAGACTTTAAAGCGGAATAACATTTTGGCTCGGAATTTCGGAGCGCAACCCTATAAGCCGCCTTACTATTTATTTCGGGCACATTTTCCAATTTTCCAAGACTCTCGTCCGGTTTCGTGTCCACGAAAAATAACTCCGCCGCTGTTCTTTTTGCGAAAGGTTTACCCAGACGCTCCTCTAACCTCTTATCTTCCAAAAAATTATCCACATCCTGAATGTCGATATTTTTCCTCCAAGATATCTTATTTTTTTTTGATACTCGCTTTCTTTTTTTTAATCCTTCATTTTCGTTAATTATTTTCATTTTATTTAATTATTTTTTTATAACTTGTTAAACAATTATTTTAAAACGTTTTTTTTTTAAACACGTGTTGTCTCTCACCACTTAATTTATATCAATGTATTATTTGAGGTTATGTTTATTCTTTCTCTCTCTTAAATATCTCCATCTCTCTTCTTTGCATGTGGCGCTTTTTTTTTTAAAATACAATTATTAATGAAAATTAATTTAGCAGATATTTTATAATTTTTCTAATAAATAAATATGAAAATTAAACTATCCGACATTGGAAAATTTTTATAATTTATTTTATTGAAAAATAATTTTTAAAAAATTAAAACAAAAATTTTCACATGTAGAAAATTTTAAAAATTATACGTGAAATTTTTAAAAAAAGTTTCTTAGTTCTAATTTTTGATTAATAAAAAAAATAAAAAATTTTGAAGTGTCGGTTAACTTAATTTTCATTAAATAAATTACTGCATAAAAAAATGGACATTTAAAAATTTTAATAAATTAAAAATGCAATTTTTTAAAAATAATTTTCTTTAACAAAACTTTTTATTAAATAAAATAAAAAAATGGTCAAGTGACAGCTAACTTTAATATCATATTTTATTAATTGATATATAGAATATAAATAAAATTTTTAAATAAATTTTACTGATTTTTATGCAATAATTTTTAATATCTTCAAGTAAAACATTTTATTTCTTTATTTTTTTGTTATTTTAAACAATTTATTTCTAATAATATTAAAGAAAAAAAAACAGTAATAAAGTTAGCTGGTGTTTTTTATTGTTAGAATTTTTTTTTTAATTTATTAAATTAAAACTAAAAAATATTTTTTAGAACTTTTTAGTATTTAATTAATACTTCCTTTATTAAAATGATCCGAATTAAGGAAGCTTTGTTATAAAATATTAAATATAGTAATTGCTTCTTAATTTAGAAAGAAAAAATATGTTCTATTACATTATTATTATTTATAAATTTTATGTTAAAAATAATTTGTATATTATATGTGTCATTATTGTCAGTATATAATATTAAAGATGCTCTATTTGTCTTGAGGATACACAACTCCAATTTGACGACGCAATTCATCTTCCAGCTCAGCAATCATTAAAGATTCGGCATGAGAGACTTTAGGACTTTCTTTTAAGCCAGCTTGGAGACAAGCCCGAACTTCAGCGGCTTCATAACGAAGTCCAGCACTATTGACGAAATTAAATTCATGTGGAGCCTTTGGCAAGTCGAACTTTATTTTTCCAGACGGCAATTCAGCCGTCACTGGGCACCAGAAGGTCGGGATTTTGATCACGCCTTTAGTGCCGATGATAACAGCTTCATTTGGTAAAGTTACCACTGAGTGTGTCATTATCGTGGCCGTGCGATCATTTTTATAGATCAAAGTAGCTGACATGGACTTGTCGACCCCATCAGCATTCAAGAAGCCTCCTGCTTTTACATCTATCGGTTTTTCTCCATCATAAACAAACTGAGCCAATTGTAGAGTGTAAACTCCAAGATCCAAGATTGTCCCACCGCCCATTTCTTTGACACTTAAAAGAGATTTAAGATTAAATTTCAATACACTCGAGTACTAGAGTAAATTTTAAATTATAAAAAAAAAAACATTTAATACTTTAAACGGTCAACATGCTCCATAGCAAAGCCAAATGATACGATAACTTGTTTGACATCTCCGATTTCTCCGGCTTTGATCGCTTTTTTAACAGCTTCGTAGACTGGGAAGCATCTACTCCAAATAGCTTCCATCAAAAATAAACCTTTGGACTTGGCAAAGTTTATCAACTCTGTAGTCTGTTTCAAGTTCATCGTCAATGGCTTTTCGCAAAGTACGTGCTTTCCATGATTTAACATCAATTTTGCGACTTCCAGGTGCTGAGGATTCAAAGTTCCAACGTAAACAATTTCTAAAAAGAAAAATAATTAATTTAGAATAAAAATAAAGTTAGCAGACGTCTGACAATTTTTAGAAATTTTTTTTTGAAAAATTTATTTAAAAAAAATAAAAAAAGACATTTTTGTTTAATATTTTTGTAATTCTAAAAAAAAAAAATAAATAAATAAATGTAACTCTGCATGCGTAGTCTAGATTCACCTTTTCTTCTCTTCTTTTTTCCTTAATTATTAAACTACTTTGTTAAATTTTTTAATTTTATTTAACAAAAAGATTTTGTTAAAAAAATTATTTAAAAAAAATTGCATTTTTTACTTTTTTTAAATTTCTAAATGTCAATTTTTTTTATTTTTTTTTATGCTATAGTTTATTTGTTATAAAATTTTTAAAATTATTAAATATGTGCTACATTAATTTTCATTTGTTAAATTATAATAATTATTAATAATAAAATATAGAAATTTTAGTTTATATAGAGTCATACTTCTATTTAAGTTTTTCACTCTGTCAAAATTTTTAACAATGTAAAAAATTAAGTAACCCTGTTATTGGCCCTTTAGAGCTGTTGGGTTGATGTAATGGCAAATAAATAAATAAATTCTAATTTAATTAATGAAAAAAAAAAATTGTTAAACATCTACTAATTTTAGTAATAATTCAGAGTATATATAGTAGTTTCTTACCAACATCAGTATCTTTTGCCAATTCCTCATAACTCCCATAAGCTTTTTTAATACGATGCAGTTTAGCAAACTCTTCAGCACGTTTTATATCACGTGCAGCGACAGCAACAACCTCGTGCTCATTATTAGGCAATGTAGCCACAGCGTTTGTAAAATCATGGGAAATTTTCCCAGCACTAGCAATTCCCCAACGTGTTGCCATTTCTATTAAATATTACATATGTTTGTATATAATTAAAATGCGCAATTATTCAATTTACTATTTTACGGTTTCAATTATCGGTGAATCAAAAATTTTATTATAAAAAAATCATAATAAAAGTATCTAAAATTTGATTATTAATGATAAAAAAAAACAGCAGAAATTTTCCAACTTTTTTTCTAATAAAAAAATTTTTTTTTTAATTATTTTAAAAAAAATTGCATTTTTAATTTTTTTAAATCTCTACCTATGTCATTTTTTAATAATATGTCAATTTTAATAAAAAAGAATTCTTCTTCGAATAATTTGTCAGCAAAAAAATGAAAACTGTCAAATGTCTGCTGTTTTCATTATTATTTGTGAAATAATAATAACAAAAAGGACATACTTAACCTATATAATTTATTTGACACTTGGATATTGTGAACAAATACCGCAAGACAAATAATACAGAAGGTTTTTTATATACTTCAATACTTTATTATTTAACAATTTTATTACTTATAACTGAATTATTATATCAAAGCTCGTCTCTCTTTAATTAACATCACAATTGACCACCAAGGTTATCTACCCAATGATATAAAAGTTCTGCCGCTGCAGTTTTAAAAATAAAGAAAACAAAATGCAACACTTGATGTTTGTAATTATCTAATGTAAATAAATTTATCTATATCCATGTTTTTATTTCAAACTAACGATTGATATTGATATGATACCCGTAGTAATATTACATATTTAAAAAATAATAGTGATATGTTTCAAATAAATAATACTTGTTGCAGTGAAGATCCGAAGAATATACATGATACTAAAATAAGCCGACATCTAAAAATTTTTTTTATTAAAAAAATTATTACAAAAAAAAAAATTAAAAAAAACTACAAGTGCAATTTAAAAAAAATATTTTTTAGTTTTAATTCAATAAATGAAGAAAAATAAAAAAATTAATAATTTTTTTCATTAATTAAATTACAAATAAAAAAAATTGCACGCATAATTTTTCAAATTTTCTACATGTAAAATTTTTTAAAAATTTTTTTGTGATAATTTTTCCAATAAAAGAAAATAAAAATAAATTTTGCAGATATTTAATAATTTTTTTTTTCTAAATAAATTATGGTAAAAAAAAATTGGCATGTAGAAATTTTAAAAAATAAAAAATGCAATTTTTTTGAACAAATTTATTTAAAAAAAAATTTTTTTAATTCTGTAGTGACTGCTAACTTTAATATCATTAAAAGAAATTATAAAAATTTTTAAATGTCGGCTAATTTAATTTTTATAAAATACATGACGAACTTTGACGATAGCTCGAAAAATGAAAAAAAAAAAAAAAAAAAACCAATTGAAGGATGAAGGACTTAAAAAAAAAATAATAAACTAGGATCGTGGATAAATCTATATGTCTGTACACAATGACTTGTTTTTAATTGTAATAATATTAATATTAATTAATTATAATAGTAATGTACAATCGACGTAATAGCATTTGATACTATTATAATTTTGTTTTTTTTTTTTAAATATATTTAAATAAGTTTTTCGTTTAAGGATTTGGGCGCCATGATCTATTTCAGATGCTTATATCTTTAATTAACATTGATAATTATTTTTTTGACCTTGATTGCCATCTTCTCGTCCACATTCAAGAGTGCAAACACACTTGGGCAGAGAAATTATTTTTTTACAACTTTTCTTCTCGTAAGTTTTTAATTTAAAACGTTCTACATCTCATAATAAATTTGATATGAATGTTAATAATGATAATAATAATAAAAAATAATAATTATTCTTCTTTATGTTTTTTAGTTGGCTTATTTTTAACTATTCTTTTATTCTATAAACATATTTAGTCGATATTCAAGATAACAACAGCCGAATAAATTACATGGGAAAACATAATTTTTATTATCATTATTTTTTTTTTATTTATTTAATATTAGTTATTATTTTTGGCCCAGCTTGAAACGCGTTCATACAAATGCCTCAATAAACTGTATACACTCTTATTTAAAATATTCATATGCATTTTTTTGTGATTTTTTTATTTTTATATTTTTTTTTTTTTTTTTTCATTTTTTATCAAGTAATCTGTAAAAGATAACAATCACAAAAGCATAATAATTGTATTTTAATTTTTTTATTCGTTATTAGCGATTGTTTGCACAGAATTACGTTAATGCAATTAAATGCTCTTATTGATTTTTAATCGATTATTTTAAATAATTATTGTCCCCCCGTAATCCCCAAATACTCATTTTTTATTAAATATCGATAAACAGTCATTATATTTTAATCCTTTTATTATTTTCCTCCTGTCATGACGCGTCTCTTTATTTAAAGATTATTATAATTATTATTTTAATCTATATAAAGATCTGACTTGCATAATTTTATTAATAATAATTATAAATGCATTCTTATTATGTTTTTGATCGCTTTAAAATTCACAATAAATGGAAGATAAAAACTTATAAGTTCGTTTTTTTTTTATTTATTATTATTTTTGAATTTTGTTCGCCACTAAAATACACAGTGACTTTATTTCTTCATTAAATATAGTTTACAATAACCGTTTTTATGTTTTTTATTGTTTTTTTTTTTTGAATATTTTTTGAAAAGATTTTTTTATTTGTAATTATTTATTTTTTGTTAACTTATATTGATATTTGTATAATTATCGCCTACGTTTGCTTACAGATACATAAGAATGTAGGTTTGTTATTAGTTTAATTATTATTGTTAAATCAGAACATACATGTAGATTCGTTCTTGACATATAAATGTATTATTTTGTTATGTTTTATTATTCTTCATTCCTTTTCGTAACATCACGCAATTGTAATCCAGGAAGCCGATATGTATTATTTAATTTTTTTTTTTTTTTATTATTTTTGAATAAAACATTCACATTTAAATAGTCACATATCATTTTTCTTCATACGTATCTTCGTAATCCACATTAAGAAAGGCCGTTTCGTGGAAGACACAGTAAAAAATGGTCTTGTAATGGAATGATATAATTATAAAATAAAAACTTAGTTAATTATTATCAAGTAAAAACTCAAAAATTACATTTAAAAGATTCAAAAGTATTGAAGAATAACTATCTCATTCATAACATTATAAATACAATCATTCGGTCCATCTCTGAACAATATAACGATTTATCATTTTTTTTTTTAAGATTTTTCTTCATTCTTTTTTTTTTTTAATTGAATTTAAATTTTCCAAGTAATGAACGTCTTCATTTCTTTAAATATATTATATTGACAATCGTTAAGAATTGGCTGTAAAAATTTATTTCCAAACTGTACTCTTTCATTACTAAATTGCAATAAAATTTTCATATATACTCTATACAACAAATAATAATATCTAAACTGTGTAATAATAATAAAAATGTATCTGCTTTTAAAATACACTGACAATTTTTTTATAGATACATTTAATAAATACGAGCTCATCATAAAGTAAGTACGAGTGCTCAACGACAAACAATAAATGAAAGCTTATTATTAAAAATTGTCTATTAGTTAATTAATAAGTAATAAACAAAATATATAATTTATAAATAAAATAAATATTATATAAATTTATTTAAAAGACGTAAGCTTAGGACAAGTGAGCCATGCTGCACAAATCCATCGAGAGTTATTTAAAATAACTCATAGCTTCGTCGGTTTAAAATTTTACGCTCAAAAAACAATTATTATTTATTTCTCTAAATAATAATATATATTTATATAAATATATTATAAATATTAATAAGTTAGGATAACTATTAATACATATACATATATATATTTATCATAATAAATATATATACATATGCATACATATATACATATATGTATGTAACTTGGTGCAAGCATAAAAAATTCTTGCATCCAAATTGTATTGTCTAAACATTTATTGAACCGTTTTTAATTTCGGTCCAATAATTTTATTTATTTTATTTATTATAGGGGAGTCGCACTCACGGACGGCGAATCAATCCCAAACATCTTCACGCTTCGCTCTCGCTTTCTCTCTCTCTCTCTCGCTCTATTTTTTTTTTTTGTTATTTTTCATCATTTTTCTCATAAATATTTTTGTTTAAAATTCATCTCCCAATGCATTACAATAATATTCAATTATTATAGATTATAATAATAATAATAATAATAATAATATAAGTTATAACATCTTTGCAGAATTGTTTTTTTTTTTTTTAATTAGTCTTTTTACGTTGTATTTATGTTATGCGTTTATTTAACAGCCGTTTTATAAATGGACAATCGAAGAAATAAATTTATTAAAATCTTATTCATTTTTTTTTCATACCCACACTGACTTTTTATTTTAATATTTAGTATTATTTTTTAATTATTATCCTGTTCCCCGTCATTGCTATTGCTCTGAGTACTACGCCATAAAATAGCTGCATGTAAACTCAATTTAAATAATAATAGTAGTTATAATAATAATAATAATAATAATAGTAATATCAATTAATTTAATAATAATATAATAATAAATATATTATATATTTATATTCAAATACGTAAATATATATGTGTGTATATGTATATATTTATACGTAAGTTACTCGTTGAATCGCGAGATAGCTTCCGGAGCGAGTCACGTAAAGTATATCGACAACAAGGCGACAATGAGGCCGTACGATAAGTAAAATTTTTTAGCGCTACCGCAATATTTTATTTCCATTTCTTCAGGATGATAATTGATGCATTTAGGTGGTCGTCGTCGATAGAGACGTTCACGTCGTGTTGAACAAACTCCTGGTTCGTTAACTGCCTCGACGGGCTCGATACTAAGCTGCTTACTGCCACACGGACAAAGTGTATCCACCACCAGTAAAATAAGATTCGTGTGAAGAATCTTTTGGACACTGAAAGGCCTGTGGAAGATTGATAAGCAAGTCATTTTTCCAATCAAATACCATAAAAGAAGAAATAAAATTTTTTTTTTTTTATGCTAGAGCTATTTTATATTAGAGTTTTAAAAAGCTCACCTCTCGCATCCGGTTACATGGCAATTCGTCAATTTACCCTTTAGTGGATTGCTCTGACCACTTGTGTTCAATCTTTCAGGCTGCAAAATATACAGATCCGTCTTCTTTTCACACGGGCGTACTTTATTGATCGTATATTGAGCTGATGTTGCGTGAGAGGCAGGCGGAACTGTTGGAGGAGACACTACCGCCGGAAATGAAGGTGCCTTATCGCTTCCAGCCGCTGGCTCTTCCGACAAATTTTTCGATTCGTAAGAATTTGTCTCGTCATCACTTTTAATATCAACGTCATCTGTAATCGAGCGTTAAATTTATTTTATACTGTATTATCATAATAATTATCATAAATTTACAAATCCATTTATTTAAAATAGAGTAGATAAATTACTTATTCACTTAATTACTTTGTTTCAGACTCCCTCGAGTAATTAGTTTGATAATTACCTGAATTAGCGTCATTTGGCCAGGCAAATGCCGGACTAATTGCATCGTAGATATTTAAATTTATTACTGAAGACCAGATAAGGTTGAAACTTGTTACAATTGTCTTGATAATTGATCCGGATACTGTTCGTGGTGCCGATGATAAATGCGACTCCTGAGGTGGACAACGACCCTGATAATCCACTACTGTAACTTTTCTAAAATACAGTAAAAAAAAATTTCAATAATTATCTGTATTATTAAGAGAATAAACGACATTTTGTGGCCAGTTTTCAAGGTTTCATTTCATTCTCACTGATAGTCAATTTATTATGATAAGTATTTAGGCTGCATTCAAAAATGCTCAATCTCTAGATATATAATTAAGAAATGACCTTTTATCTTGTGAAATATTGACATTTTTAAAGATATAAGCTCATCCCAATGTTACACTCATCAAGACCTTTCATTTGAGTACCCACATCAATTTTTTTATATATTTATATATATTATATACATGTATATATGAAAAATATATCAAAATGCATGTGGGTACTCAAATGAAAGCTCTTGCTGAGTGTAACATCAGAATGAGCTTATATCTTCATATATGTCAATAATGAAGAAATGACCTTGTATTTTATAAACTATTGACATTTATAAAGATATAAGCTCATCCTGATGTTACTCTCATCGAGACCTTTCATTTGAGTACCCACATCAATTTTTTTATATATTTATATATATTATATACATGTATATATGAAAAATATATCAAAATGTATGTGGGTACTCAAATGAAAGCTCTTGCTGAGTGTAACATCAGGATGAGCTTATATTATTTATATATGTCAATAAATGAAGAAATATATATATATATATATATATATATATTATATACATGTATATATGAAAAATATATCAAAATGTATGTGGGTACTCAAATGAAAGCTCTTGCTGAGTGTAACATCAGGATGAGCTTATATCTTTATATATGTCAATAATGAAGAAATGACCTTGTATTTTATAAACTATTGACATTTATAAAGATATAAGCTCATCCTGATGTTACTCTCATCGAGACCTTTCATTTGAGTACCCACATCAATTTTTCATATTTTTATGTATATTTTATATATGTGTATATAAAAAATATATGAAGATGCATGAGGGTACTCAAATGAAAGCTCTTGATGAGTGTGACATCGGGATGAGCTTATATTTTTAAAAATGTTAATAGTTATCAAAGTACAGTGCAATTTAACAAAATTCATTATTTAATAAAACAAAATTTTATCTATTTATATTTCATAAGTCACGGCAGTCGCATAGTGACTGGAAGATTGCTAGTTTAAATAAATAAAATAAAGTTGATAAGATATTATAATTTTAAATATAAAATTTAATGGAGTTATTTTTAACAGTATTTTATGGATAATAAAACACGTCATACTGGTGAAAAAATATAAGTGAAGCAAAAATCTGTGATACATCGTAACACAACATATGGGTAATAAAATTTTTACAAGACTTGACTCTAAATCCACCCTTCCGTGTCATATATTTTATATAATATGTGTATGCATTACAGCGTAACACGGATGACGACCCCGAAGACAAATTCACAGATTTTCGATTTTATTTTTATTAGATAGTAAAATTCGTGCGCATACCTGTAGATCCTGTCCTGTACGAGCGAGTCCATTATAGTACCATCTATTTCACCGAAAAATTTTCCCGTGTGTTCATTATTTTCGCTAATAATTATGAATCCGCTGTTATCAAGGATGTAACAGTCCAGATCTTGAGACGCGCAATTTTTCTTGCAAGAAGTGCACTGAAAATAATTAAACGTATTATTATTAAAAATATCACTTTAAGGGGGTATTCTGGTCTATAGATGACAAAAAAATGGATTTTTTTTATATTTTCAAAGCTTAACCCTTTAAAAATATATCTTTATTAGGATTTTAGAATATTCGGAGAAACTTTACGCGTTTTTCTTGAAATTATCTTTTTTAAAAAAATATCCACGATTTCTCAAGTTCTACTGAATCAAATTACTTAAAATTTGGTGTAAATTTTCTTTATAAACTTCTCTATTGCATAATTAATCCTTATCCCTAAATTTTAATATTTAATATTTTAAAAAAATTCGGAAAACTCAAAAAAAGTAGTACAAAAATTAATTTTTCAGGCAATACCCATTTTGTGAAAAAAAAGTTTTTTTTTCCAACTTTTTTTTAGTTAGTGCAGTAGCGGAATTACTCTAAATTACTAATCTTTTTTTACCAGATTACTAGTAGGGTTCGCTTTTAAAAAATTAACTTTACTCAAGAGACAAAATCTTGAACCAAGAATACTATTTTGAAGAAAATGATTTTATTGAGTCAAGAGAATAAATTCTTGGGACTGGAAAAATTTACTTAAATCAAGAATAATTTCTTGAATCAAGAATTTATTTTCTTGACTCAAGAAAATCATTTCCTTCAAAATGGTATTCTTGGTTCAAGATTTTGGCTCTTAAGTCAATTTTTTTTATCAGTGTTATTAATTAATCACTTTATTAGCTGCTAACTTTTAAAATTAAAAATTTTTTTCCTTTTTTTTCTGTATTCTTAAAATATTAATAAATATCTTATAAAAAAATTAATAGAAAAAATCTCAATTGCCTTTTTTTCGACGTTTAAAAAATAACTTTAAATCCAAACTTCTATTCCAGAATTACCCCTTTAACAATATAAATCTAGGTAATTACCGTGGAAGTAATATTCATGAAATGGGATGATAATGATGAATGCTGTAGTTGGATACCAACAACAGCAGCTGGTGCCTTATGTTGATTTTTACCCTCGAAGAAGACTGCGTGAGTTGCCGTTACAAGTGGTTCCGTCATTTCCGCTAATTTATTTATTATTTATTACCATTAATATAATATGTAGATTAATTTATATCAAGTTTTAAGTGATAAAATAAATTACCGGCGTTGAAAGGCACACTAAATACGAAACTCTCAGGCTCCACAGCGTGCTGTTCCGCGGCTCTTTTGTACCATGATGTGTCCATAGCTCTTTTGTTCATGTCAGCGAAATGCCTGGTCAATTAAAAACTTCAATTTTCCCGTTTAACATTCTCAAACATAATAATTGCGTGACAAACGCATTTTTAAACTCTACTCGAGAACTTTTACAAGAAACTTTTTTTTATTTTTTTAATTATCTTTTAAATTATTTAATTATTAATTCATGATCATTGACATTTACGGTTCGTCTTCGGCTTCCTTATTGTCTTGATGGTCGTGCCATCGAAAGAGACCACTCCTCGTAGCGATGAAACTTCGGACGACGTCGAATCTCCCTTTTCCTTGGCTGCAAAATTTCAACAAAACTCAATTAGTCTTCACAATTATTTTTAATTTCTTCAACAGCTATTGAGACTTCTGTTAATTATCATCAGTCTCATGATCATTAATTAATACCTTAGCCACAAAATATAAATTCATCATTTTTTTTAAATATTCTGCATAATAATCATTATCAGCAACATCTATTTTTTGTTCTTCTGTACAAAAGCACAATTGAGTAAAAAAAAAAGACGCTGTGTTTTTTTTTTAAACTCAATTGTAGTACAAATATTGACATGGAAATTCAGCGGGGTGAATTATAATGATATATATTTTTTTTTATTTTGAATTATATATTTTTTATGCGCTCAGCTGAATATTTAGCAATTAATGATTGTAATATCAGTAACATAAAAAAATATATAAAAAAAAATGTCCCAATGAGTAATCGGTGACAATGATTAGGTCTATTGGGAGACGCAGGAACACAATTTTTTCGCTGGAATGACCGTGAAAACAATTGGTAATATATTTACCGTGCAAGACTGCGAGTGAGGATAAAACATATAATTGTGCATAATAAATTACCTGTGCAGAAGAGCCATCAGTATGGCAATGGGGCTGGCGGTGGAGACACACAATAATAAAATGTAATAAAAATATATGCAAGAAAAGTATAAATATTAATAAATAAAAATTATAATAAAAAGTGTCGTTTAAAAAGGTGCAAAATGTGTCGTATAAAAGCAATATTTATTATAATATTATTTATGTTATTATTTTTTTTCAGCTATTTATATATTATATTCCTCCCTCATATATAAACTTGATAAATATGATCCCCTGTTATAGCTTCACTCTATTTAATTATGTCTTAGTATGAGCTTGAGTCTCTCCCTCACATTCGGCCATCACTATTTCGACATAATAATAATCATTACCACCAATATCGTCCTTTAAACTCAGAGAAACAAAGCTCCTTTGCATATTCCTCTCCCGGATATAATTACGCCGGGCAGTAGATAATTGCAGAGATCGTTTTCTCCCATTCTCTCTCTGTGTCTACTTGTGGTAATCACGTACAACGGAAATCTATACAAAACAATTGATCTGACGGAACGATATGTCTTATCAATAATAACCGTGACAATGACTTTAAATAATAATAATAACAATAATAATAATTATTATTATTATTATTTAAGCACAATTTGTCACGGTTAATTATTATTTAATTACCCGCGGATCAATGAACGAGAAAATATCATTAAAATTATTATTATTATTATTATAATAGTTTATAGTTATATATATATATCAGTGCTTTGTGCATTTACAGGTGCTTGGGTTAACAAGTAATTATTGCAATGCATGCTTCTTTAAAAGTTATTATTTACTTGTTTGTATCAAAAATATATTATATAGTTTTTCTTTGGTTCATTTTAATTTGTTTTTGCAGTCTTAATTCCTGTCACTTACTTCTGATTATCTTCCCTGTGCATCAAGTTAGAGTCTCTTTTATTGAACCCACCAGTTACTACTGCATCCATAACTAGTGATTGTACTAATCTTTTATCGCCTGTAACATAAAAAAAAAAAAAAAAAAAAAAAGTAATTATCAATCAAATCACAAATTAAATTAAATAACAGGTGCACTGATAGAAGGATTTGTTTATATTTATTAAGCTTTATTAACTGTTAATAGATGATTTTTTAACATCATAAGATTTAATAAATGTTTATTAACATCAAGAGCTTTCATTTGAGTACCCACATGTGTTTTGATATATTTTTCATATATAAATATATATTATATACATATAAATATATGAAAAATTGATGTGGGTACTCAAATGAAAGGTCTTGATGAGGGTAACATTGGGATGAGCTTATATCTTTAAAAATGTCAATAGTTCACGAGATACAAGGTCATTTTTTAATTATTGACATTTTTTAAGATATTAGCTTATCCCGATGTTACACTCATCAAGAGCTTTCATTTGAGTCCCCACATGTACTTTGATTTATTTTTCATATATACATATATATATAAATATATAAATATATGAAAAATTGATGTGGGTACTCAAATGAAAGGTCTCGATGAGTATAATGTCATGGTGAGCTTATATCCTTAAAAATGTTAATAGTTCTCAAGATACAAGGTCATTTTTTAATTATGTATCTAGAGATAGAGTATTTTCGAACTAAAAATCGATTTCATCATATGACTATCCTTAAAACAAAATTTTTCTTATTCTCTTAATAATATAGATAATTTATAAAGATAATTATTAATAGTTGATAAATCCTCCTATCAGTGTGCGTGCAACTAATAATTAAAATACGTACAATAATGCGCATCTTTATCAGGCTTGCTCGCTTGATTGTGATGCGAGCTGGGACTCTTAGGTCTCATAGACATCCACTTCCAACCGGGCATACGAGTACGACCGAGGAAATGGAGAATACGTTCCTCGGGGGTTGAAAATTGCTTATCAGACGCCGAGCTGTACTCACAGTAAACCCAATCCGGGTGAACTTTCCAATTACTTCCATTTAGATAGTCAAACACTGAATCATAAAGAAAAATAGGATTTTTTAATATTTTACTTCTCTTACCCTTGCTACGCTTTATATTTCAAACAATTTATATTAGAATGTATTTTAACTTATTTTCTTTTTTTTATTACCATTTAAAATAGCGTGTTTCAGCTCCAGCTCGGCGAGCACTTCCAGCATACCATAGCCCTCGGGCAGTGCTAACCCCAGAGAGAACGGAGTCCCGACAATAGGCTCGTAAAAATAATTGTGTCGACGAATCGTTACACGTTTCTATAAGAAATGAATTTTATTATTTATTATTCTCCGACAATTTATTTATTAAACGCTTACCATATTGTCATAATGAATTTTCACCGCAAAATTTGTCTCTCCCTCTTTTTGCTCAATCATATCGCGCCTTAACTAAAATATTTTATAAATAATAATGAATATTATTATTATTGCCATTGTATTTAATCACAAATATTGTTTTAATCAACAATAACGCTTGTTGTAACTTACATCAAAAAGCAGCGAGTTATTATTATAAATGTAACTAGGTCCTTCAAACTCAGCTAGTTCAACTTCTGACAAGTCAACGCTCGTGTATCTAGGATGCAATGAGTTTTCATACTGTAAAAAAAAAATATATATTTATATATATTATTGAAAACCATTATGATACCTGAGTAAATCAATACTGCAATAAAAAAAAAAGTTTTTGTACTTAAAACGGGTCGCACTTACATTTGGACTTGTCGGCTGTGTTTAAATAAATAAATATATATTATTTAAATGACTTTGTATTTTTTAAGTTTTTTTATGCAAATCAATCTTACCAAAGGACGTAGATCTGGATGATACAAGACACGACCATTATTGTCGACGATAAACGAGTAGCCATTTACACCCAACTGGAATAGAATAAAAAAAACCGCTCGATAAATTCTACGTGTATGAATAGAATAAAAAAAAAATAGCAATAGCAATGATGATGATAATAATAATAAATAGGAATAATAACAGCCATAGAGTTAAATGATTTGAAAGTTACCTTATAAGGTGGTACGAGCTTTTGTACTTGGTCTATCGGTACATCTGTCCCAACTATTCCAAACAAGTTGGCAGTTTTTACCTGAAGATTATATCAGATTATAATTTATCACGAATGAGAAAAATAGCACAAATTTTTACACGGAAAAAAGTTAACTAAAATTCACTCGGATTACGGTTAATTTTTATAGTTTCAAAGTACAGAAATCAGGGTGGCACAAATTTAAATATTACAAAATGTAATGGAGGAAGTGTAAAGCCATAATTTATAATTTAATATTGGAAATGTGATTAGTAGCTGTCACTATAGTAAATAACGATTCGCTCATCTTAAAAAATTACTGTTTCAAACAGTAAAAATTGCCGTTTCAATATATAGTCTATACTATGAGAAGAAGGGAAAAGTATCACACTCGGAGAATTTAACATTTGAAACAGTAAAAATTCTACCCTTAAAATATATATTTTACCAGTCCAAACAAATCAATAATGATAGTTTGATTTTTAGCGTTGCTTTTAAAATTTACCATTTTACTTTGTAAATATTGACGTTGCTTGTATAAAAATTTAGTAACTAGTTTATATTTTTTACATATCATGCGATCATTTTTTAGGTGACGAAATATCAAAGTCAAAATTCTTAATTATTTTACTTTAAAATTTTGGACTTTCATATAGCGAAAATTACCGTTTGAAATAGTATTTTCTTCCATATAAATAATAAATTGTACCATTTAAATGATAAATATTCTAAAGTGATTGTTAATATCTCGATTTAATTTTATTGTTTGAAATGGCAATTTTTTCCAGTTGATCATTAATTATTATAAGTTGACTATCATTTATTAGTTTATTTTTTTTCGTGTAAAATTCACTCGGTTTCCGGTTAATTTTTAATTTCAAACAGTACAGTGGACATCGGGGTGGCACAAATCTAAATATTACTTAATGTAGAAAGTGTAAAAGCCACAATTTATAATTTAATAATTGCCGTTTCAATATATAGTCTATACTATGAGGAGAAGAGGAAGGTTTCACACTCGGAGAATTTAACATTTGAAACAGTAAAAATTCTACTCTTAAAATATATATTTTACCAGTCCAAACAAATCAATAATTATAGTTTGATTTTTGGCGTTGCTTTAAAAATTTACCATTTTACTTTTTAAATATTAAAGTTGCGTATATCGACTTTTACATAGCGAATATTACTGTTTGAAATAGTATTTTCTTTCATGTAAATAATAAATATTATAAAGTGATTGTTGAAATCACGAATTTACTGTTTGAAATGGTAATTTTTTGATCATTACTTATTATAAATTGACTATTATTTCACTTTACTTTTTTCCGTGTATAGTTTAAATATTTAAACTCACTGTGTGATTACGGCGATCTAAAATTGGGGCAGTTACTGATGTCATTAATTGCCCACGTCTTTCTTCGCCGTATCTACTGCTCTATAATTACAAATAAATAAACAAAAGTAAATTATTTACGTACATAAGATTAAAATAAAGTGATAAAATAATACTATAGAATATAATTGTTTAAATACAATACCTCACCGCCTACATAAGCAGGTGTCCAATGAATTGGATGATCGTGTTGATACAAAACCATAGGTCGTGCTAAAACTTTGACGTACTCAAAAACTTTACTTTTTACGTCTTCCATTGACGTCACTCGCGCGTAAAAACCTTTTTATGAGTTTGTAAAAGTAAATAAGATGAAATAAAATATATAAATTGTAGAGCGTGATATATATACTGTTATATATTATATCTATATTTTATATTAAAATCAATAGTAAGGCAAAATAATATTAACAATATAATAAGTAAAGAAGAAAAAAAAAAAAAAACTAAGTGTACCTTTATTAACACAAGCCATTTCTTGAAGTTCTGAACTTTTGTCCCCACCAATAAGATAGGTGAATATCCTGACGGGCATATGAGGCCAATTGTACTTTTTAATAAGGTCTGATGACGGAGCCTCAGTATTAGAAGTAACCAACATAATAGCTTGATTGCACTGAGCCCCCTTTCCAGTTCTATTGTATTTGTAGAGAATTTCAAAGCTAGTGGCCATTGCGGCTGATACATTTGCCGTCGAATCTGATTGTATTGAGTACAATGAGTTCTTTAGGCTGCGTACATTTTCCGGTGACGCTTGCACCAGTGAATCCTTGAAGCATTGAACAGTTTCCTCAACACTCTCAGAAAAGCGATAGACATTCACGTAGTCGTTCGTCGACAGTGTGTCTAAGATACTTTTTGTCGTGGCTATAGCCAGCTTGCGGATTTTTTTAGATGAAAAACTCGTACTGTCGACTAGAATTGCCAGATCTTTGGGGCAAGTAGCACCACCGACGAACCAGTCAGACATACGGAAGTCATAGACGTCCGGGTCATCAGGTCTTGAGTCTCTCCCTCTTGCCGGCCATGATATTGCTAGAAGTGAGAAGAAATTTATCATTAATGACTAGCAACCTTGTGACTTGTGAATTATAAATAAATAAAATTTTGCTTTATTAAATAATGACTTTTGTTAAATTGCACTGTAGTTTCTTAAATATCAACGATTTTAAAGATATAAGCTCATCCTGATGTTACACTCATCAAGAGCTTTCATTTGAGTACCCACATGCATTTTTATATATATTTATATAATTCATATATATATATATATATATATGTATAAATATATGAAAAATTGATGTGGGCACTCAAATGAAAGGTCTCGATGAGTGTAATGTTGAGGTGAGCTTATATCTTTAAAAATGTCAATATTTCTCAAGATACAAGGTCGATTCTTACTTATGTTAAATTGCACTGTACTTTCATTGACGTTTTTCAAGGTATAAGCTCATCCTGATGTTACACTCATCAAGAGCTTTCATTTGAGTACCCACATGCATTTTATATATATTTATATAATTCATATATATATATATATATATATGTATAAATATATGAAAAATTGATGTGGGCACTCAAATGAAAGGTCTCGATGAGTGTAATGTTGAGGTGAGCTTATATCTTTAAAAATGTCAATATTTCTCAAGATACAAGGTCGATTCTTACTTATGTTAAATTGCACTGTACTTTCTTAATGTATTGACATTTTTAAAGATATAAGCTCATCCCGATGTTACACTCATCAAGAGCTTTCATTTGAGTACCCACATGCATTTTGATATATTTTTCATATATTCATATATATAATATATATAAATATATGAAAAATTGATGTGGGTACTCAAATGAAAGGTCTTGTTGAGCGTGACACAGGGATGAGCTTACATCTTTAAAAATGTCAATAGTTCACGAGATACAAGGTCATTTCTTGATAATATATCTAGAGATAAAGCATTTTTGAATGCAATTTCAAATTATGACCTTTGCAATGATATAAAAAAACTGATTTTATCATAATTATTCTGAATATAAAATTTTTCTTACTCTCTTAATAATATAGGTGATAATAATTTTGATATTATAATAGGAATTTGTCTGTTTATTTACCTGGGAAACGCCTTAAAAAGCCAGAAGTAGAGCCGAAGTATTGCCAAGACAAAGTGGGATCACTTTCATAATTATTGACAAAAAGTGGGTCTAAATGATCGCTCCACTGGAGCCCAGATGAGACTTGGCTGTCTGTAATGTCAATGAAACTTTTTTTAAACTTTTAATCTCTTTTATAATTATGACTTGTGAGTTATTAACTTAATATAATTATATATTTTTTAATAACTCGAGTGTAATCTAGCGAATTAAATGTGGAAGAGAAGGTCCATTTAATGCAGATGAACAAACAAAAAACAGAAAATAGAAAAATAGAGAGTAGGAAATACAAACCAGAGTCGTCAACACTCGGCGGAAAAAGAACAGCAGACATACTCAAATTGACGGGTAAATTGTCAAAGTGACGATTCATCGACAGTAACAATTCACGAGTACCGGGTGTGAGTTTACCGTCATCAGTGAATCTGTTGATCTCATGGGAACTGTAGTATCGGGGTGATGTAGTTGGGTCCCTTGGCGATGATACTGCAGCTTGCTCCGCACTTTCCATCAATCTCTATAATAGTCAGACCCATTTTTTACATAGATGTTCATTAGTACGTAGGTAAATACATAAAAAGACAAAGTTAAAAAAAAAAAAAATAATGAAATAAAATGAAAACAGAACAACAACTGACAACCAACTAGTGAATAGAACCGAATAATCCAACCCGACCAACCGAACAAATAAAGCAACCTAAATAAAAATATCGGTATTGTCTTACCATAACGGCATTCATCTTAAAGTCCATCATATTTTTGACTTCCGCTGCCATTTCACGTACCAAAACTAGACCATCTTTTTTATTCACAGCTGCATTCATCCCATGGTAATTCTAAAAGCATAATCGAGAAGATAAAAAAAGGTAAATAATAATAAAAAAATTTTTTAAGGGGGAACACCACTGTGACGATTGAAAAAAAGAGGTGATTTTTGGGAATTTTTTTGACAGGGAAAAAAAAGGAATTTTTTTTATTTTATTAAGGGTACATTAAAAATTTTTAATAAAAAATATTTAATTATTACAAAATTATTAACAATCTCGTAGAGCACTAGAAAAAAAAACCCAAATTTCTTATTAATCAATAAGGATGTAATTATCGTCGCATTTACGGAATTTAAAAATTTTTATTTTAAAGATTTTTTTAGCTGGGTTAAAATAGAAAAAAAAAAAAACAGTAAAAATAGTGGAAAAATTTTCAATCAGTTAGCATTTTTTAATTATAATAATACTACATCCTTATACAGAAAAAAAAAAAATGTTCTTGAATCAAGTATATAATTTTGAAGAACTTTATCTTCTTGATTTGAGTAAAAAAATTCTTAAACTAAAAAATTGTTACTTGGTTTAAATAAATTTTACTTCATTCAAGAATTTTTTGTCTTGATTCAAGACAATTGAGGAGCTGAGTTTCAAAAGGGTATCTTTTCATTTTTGATTAATCGAGACAAAAAACTGGTTATCTTCAATTATAAATATTTTTTAATTTAGCTATAAAGTGCTATCGGTTATAAAGCTACAATTCGATTTTCATTTAGAAATCTTTGTAATTCTCAAAGTAATTAATATTTAAAAGTTAAAAAAACTGCTCTTTTAAAATACGAAAAGATACCCTTTTGAAAATCCTCAATTACCCTCTTCAAAATTATTTTCTTGGTTCAAGAATTTTCCTCTGGAATCAAGTTAATTTTTTTTTTCAGTGCACTGATTAAAAATAAATTTGAGTTTTTATTTCCAGATGATCCGTTTTTGATTGTCAATAACTTTGTAATAATTAAATATTTTTTATTAAAAATTTTTAATGTACCCTTAATAAAATAAAAAAAATTCCTTTTTTTTCCCTGTCAAAAAAATTTCCAAAAATCACCTCTTTTTTTCGATCGTCACAGTGATATTCCCCCTTAAATTTAATAAAAAGTAAAAATTAAAGTTATATAAAATAATATTAAAACTTGCCCTCTGTATTTCCCCAAGTTTAGTTGCCTGTCGTCCAAACTCCCACAGATCGACACCAAACTTAAGTGCCCAGTTTCTCACTCTGTAACACATCGAGCAGCAGGTTGTCGCATAAACTATCGATAACCATTTGGCCCCACCTTGAGCTCCTCCTTCACTGGCTCTCTTTAATTCAATCTCTCTCTCATCTCTTCACACTACCTACAACTACTTATACAGCAATACAATGCAATACAATTCCATAGCAAGGTATATTTATCCAGACACACATATACATCTCTCCATACATCCATATATAATATAATATAATATACATATATAGAGTGCGATCTAATCTTCTATCCTAACCGGCGCCAATACTTATGCATTTAAACATCTCTATCCTGCGACTAGGATATATATTATTCTCCAGGAGATGTGTGTGCATCATATCATCATATATTACAGATTTATCAGTGGCGTGAGATCACACCGTGTCTCTCCTCTCTGCTATTGACTTTGTGAAATTCTTCCGGTATGTATATGATGCACAAATGTTACATCATTGCCCGCGGAGAGAGACAGACAGTCATAGATATTATATATATATATATATATAGATAAAGTGAGAAGAGAATGAGTGAATGAGAGAGCGAGTGGAAGAGAAAGAGAGACAGAAATACCGCGACGATCGAACACGGCCGCAGCCCCATTTCAAAAGTTTTAAACAAAAGCCAAACTTACTCATTGTGTGGAATGTCCTCCTCCTGTTGATGACTGATTCCAATACTTATGAGAAAAAGTATGCCGATGTACAACGTGCTTTTAACGTAACGATACATCTCGTTATCTTCTCCCGCTTCTTATATTTATCAGAACAACTATTTATCTTCCTCCCCCGTTGTTGCTCCAAACTTACTGTTTATGTTGTATTTCTTCCCCGCTGGAGCAACAAATAAAACAAATTCCCGCTTTATTTCTTCTTTAGATTTATTTATTGTTCAACGGCGCCGACAAGCGCACTGATAGAAGGATTTATTTCTATTAAATAATATTTGTTAATAGTTAAAAAATCATTTATTAGAGACCACTTTTTAGTATTAAAAAAATATTTCTTAGCATTTAAAATGATTTATTTATATTTAATAAATCTGATATATGAAAATGAAGGTAGCCGACATCTGAAAATTTATAGAAATTTTTTATTGAAAAGATTTTGATTAAAAAATTAAAAAAAAAAATTTCACATGTAAAAAACTTAAAAAACTATAAGTGCAATTTTTTAGAAATATCTTTTTAGTTGTAAATTAATTAATAAAAAAAATCAAAAATTTTTAAACGTCTGCTAACTTCAGTGTCATTCTGATATTCATTTTTTTTAAATCTTTTTAAATACTAAGAAATATTTGTTAAGGACTAAAAAGCGGTCTCTAATAAATAATTTGTTAATTATTAACAAATATTTTTAACTATAAACAAATCCTTCTAATAAATAAATAAATAATAAATAAACTAAATATCAATAAAAATTACCTAAAAAATCCTAAAATAAATTTTATATAAATTAAACATACATATGTTAGCAGGAAGAAATAACTCACGTTAATTCATTGGACACAGCCGGATGATGATGCTTGTTGATGAGGATAAAATGATATCTAGTGTGTCGGGCTATGCAGTAGCAGTAGCAGTCGTTTATCGTTAACTAGGGTGTGCAAGTGACACCTCCAGGTTCAGATCCAGTGATCCATGTCCAAGTAGCAGCAGTAACAGTTATGATAACGGCCTGAGGAATAAAAAGTCCCAAGAACTGAGGCGTCTTTTCTTATTCGGCGAGTAGTAAGAGGCCGCTGCAAAAAATCCATAGGTCTCGTCAAAAAGACGTGTAACGTCGCGTTTTGTTTAACACACACGTTGTATTGAGCAAGAATTTATATACTTCTTTCTTCTTTTATTATTATTTCATAATATTTCTTCTTTTTTTTTCACAACCCCTCTCAGATCAATTACTCTTACTTGAATTATTGAAACATGATATAGAACTACAACAACAATAACAATTAGTATTAATATACTGAAACTATAAATAAATAGTGCAACGTTGTCTGTATGTACAACACCCACTAAAATATTAACAAAAATGATAAACCACCTCTAGGTTTTTGGTGTTTTACGTTCTGCGTTTACGCGTACTCTCAACGCCACCACAAAACGATCCTCGCCCTTACTCTACTACACCCTGCATCCACGACCTTCATCCACGCTTCGCACCCTCTTTCCACGCACACTCGTCTACACTATTCGTCGAGCAAAAAACCCCTAACTAATATATCCTTATCGTATATCTCTTTTCAAAAAAAAAAAAAACCACCCTAAAATCTTCAATAAATAAATTTAAAAATATTTTGATTTAAATTTTATAAATTCTTCCTCAGAGAAAAAATCCAATCCCTTGATCTACTGTATCTTCTTCACCTCCAGTCATTTATCCATAAAATCTTCAGTATATTCTTCTCTAAAATGTATTGTCATCACCCAGCATAATCCTGAAGAACAAAACAGACAAGATAAAAGAAAAAACGCACTTGCTCACTTAGTAAATAGTTATTATTATTCCTCGAGCAGCAGCAGCAGCAGCAGCAGCAGTAATAATAATAATAACCATAATTATCACAAGTACAAGCACATCTCTTGCTAAGAGGGACACAGTTACACTTACACGAGGTATTTCTTCCAGTATTTAAGTGTGTAACTTAAACTACCACCAAGTAAGTAAGCCTCGACGTCTGGCCCTCAAAGAAGTCCCTTTTATTATTGTATATTATTCTTGCCCGTTAAATACGCGGGGCTTTTTTTCCAACGGGAGTCGAGTAACGAGACGGAAAATATAAGCATCTTCCTACTACTCCCAATAGTAGCTTTGAATCGCGCGCGCGCATAACTCTTACTACGTCTTGTTAAAGAGGAGTAGCATACACGTCGAGCGGGCTTTTGGGAGTAGAGAAAACTGTAGGACGTGAATCTACACGATATAGTAGAGAGTTCTCACCAGCACAGAGGAGTCCACGTCCAAGTCGGGGGTGGGGCCGGCTCCGGATGAAGGGTAGCGGGTTAGGCACCAAACCTCGGAGTAGCGCCGTTTAACAGAACGGGATAGACCAGAGAGAGCAGTCTCTGGGAGTGAGTGGGTTGGAGTAGAGAATAAGGTGGAGGGCAGTGGGTGGTAAGTGGGTGGTGGGTGGAGTACGCTGCGCAAGAGTTTTCCCAGTAGAGAAGAGAGAGAGAGACAGCGGTGTGTGGATGTAATATCCCGCTTCACCACTGCTTCAACCCTCACTACCACCACTTGGACTACTAGCTACTACGACAACTGTGATCATCATCATCATCATCGCCCTCACACGACTCCTCTAGCTTTCTTCCTCGTGTTTGGCTCTCCCCGATATTTTCTGTCTCTCCCTCGATTTCTTCCCACCCCTCGCCTCGCACCTCGTTCTCGTTCCTCATATTGTGTGTATATATACATAGGCACCCCAGACTACGGTTGACCAGGACTCCGAGAGGCGCGCAAGCTCGGCATCATTGATTTAACATGTATGTTCACGTTGTACCAATACTTCGGGGGAGCGGGCAAAGGAGTTCACCCCACACATATATTCCCATTCGGTTCCTCGATATGGCGCGAGGCCGATCCCGACTCCTACCTACACCCGGCACACCAACACCCCTAGCTTAGGTAAGAATCTACCGTACGCAAACTCTCGTCCTCGCAAGCACCAGTTCCTTTGGCTTGTACCTAGCTAGCTACCCTTTCCTAGCCCCCGTGACGTCTCTCCTCTCTCCCTCTGTCTCGGGCTTTTCTTTACATCCTCAAAAGCACCACTACAACTTCAGCTACAACTGGCATTCTTCTGGCATCACGCGCTCGCGACCTCACCCTCTCGCCTTTCTCTCATGCAAGTCCTTGCGCATTTTCCAGAACGCAGCCAATTCTCCCCCTTTTACTTTGCCATTTCTTCAGCCTTATATTCTTTCGTCGCAGACCGATGATTACCGTAATGACGTCTGGCTGAAAGGCTACCTCATGTTTTTATTATTATTATTATTATTATTATTATTATATTCATATCGTAACTATACCAGTATGTATTTTTACTACTTATCATAAAATGCATACTGGAATTAGGAGAAATTTGATAATATCTGGAGATTTTTTCTCTGAGTTTTTGTGAAGAAAATATTTACCAGTTATTATTATTAAAAAAATTTTTATTTTTACATTTGTTCTCAAGTATTTTGTAAATAATTTTTATTATTAAGAGAATAAGAAAAATTTTGTTTTCAGGATAATCATACGATAAAATTGGTTTTTTTAGTAAAATTTTGTGTCATTGCAATTGATTTAAATTTGTGCCTTTTCAAGGTTTCATATCATTCTCACCGATAGTCATTTATTATAAGTATTTAGGCTGCATTTGAAAATACTCCTCTAGATACATAGTTAAGAAATGACCTTGTATCTTGTTAAATATTGACATTTTTAAAGATATAAGCTCACCCCGACATTACATTCATCGAGACCTTTCATTTGAGTAGCCACATCAATTTTTCATATATTTATATATCTTATGTATATGTATATATGAAAAATATATCAAAATGCATGTGGGTACTCAAATGAAAGCTCTTGATGAGTGTAACATCGGGATGAGCTTATATCTTAAAAAATGTCAATAATTGAAAACTGACTTTGCTATCTTGTTAACTAATAATATTTTTGAAGATATAAGCTCATCCTGACATTACACTCATCGAGACCTTTTATTTGAGTACCCACATCAATTTTTCATATATTTTATATATTTATATATATGAATATATGAAAAATATATCAAAATGCATGTGGGTACTCAAATAAAAGCTCTTGATGAGTATAACATCAGAATGAGCTTATATCTTTAAAATTGTCAATAATTAATAAGTCCAGTACAATTTAACAAAAATCATTATTTTCTAAACCAAAATTTTATTTATTTACATTTCACAAGTCACGGAAGTCACATAGTGACTGCAAGGTTGCAAACAAAAAATTCTTTAAAGAAGAAATAAATTATTATATTATTTATTACATCAAGAGTGTTTTAATCAACTCTAAATGAAAGGAAAAGGCTAGTTGTATCAGAGCTCTAAAAAATTCATTTCTCGCTTAACTACCCATTCGCTCCACCCAGCTCCAATTTATTATTATAATGATAATAATATATATATATATATATATATATATATATATATATATATATATATTATTACAGCGAGCTGAAAGTATACTCGCATGACATGGGTCATAAGCCTTTGGCATTACGCGTGACCAATTGCTCGGTATCTATCTGCTGAATCGATTTTTATTACATCAGCCAACTTTTTTATCACTTTACATAGCGCACCGGGTCTTGTGCCTGTATCCCGCTATACCCAAAACTCAGTACCCAATCCCATGACCAGACTTTACTTATACTCAAAGAGGATGCCAGTAGACTAGACTGTGCTTGCTGGTATAATACCGGACTATAACTAGGGATGCATGTACTGGCGTCCGATCGCTCAAAAACTTTTGGCACATACTCGACCTCTGTACCCAGCATACGGGAACTTGGCACATAGATATCTTCTTCTTATTCTTATTTTTCTTGGTAGTTTCCGGTCGCCCACGATGACATAATGTACTTTTCCAGGAGAAAAATAATAAAAAAATAAAAATCTCCGCCGGATAAGAGTGACACGGCTAAATTTTTTATTTACAATTTTAGATTCTTTTTTCGATGCATGATAATATCTACAGTATATATTGCTTTTTTTATTTTTATTTCTTCTTTTTCTTCTATTTTTTAGCTTTTTTTTCCTGTGATTGATTGCTCGCGGTTTTTTATCTTGTATTTTTTAATATTGTTTTTCTTTTTTATTTATTTGAGTTTGCCATTCGGTGTATACAGATCCGGGTACGATAAACAAGCCTAGAGAGACGATGAATGCGTTGTAAAGTAGCGGAAGGGAGGCCGGAAAAATGGGTGGAAACCTTGGAGTAACCCTGACCCATGGTTACGTATTATATACCCGCACGGATTTATACTCAGGTATTTAAACTAAATTTCATTGAATTTATTTCATTATAAGCGATCTCTCTTGTATAAATACTGATTGAATAAAAAAAAAAAAATATTATTTGCTGGACAAATTGTCTTATACAATTTTATAAATCCTACTCGTACAGACTGGATTGAGTTTTAAATTGAATCCCATTTAATGCGATTTAACTTTTATATTTTTATTTATTCATCCATCATGATTTTTTTTTTTTCTTTTTTTTTTTTTTTTTTTTTTAAACAAAACAGATGAAATGAAATAAACTTTTAGTTTCGGTTATCAATTAGATAAATTGATGAACAAAAAAAAAAAACTTTACCAATTATTTTTTATCGATTGGACTTTACGCTCTTGTCTCGGATTTTAAAAATCTTTATCCGAGTATCTCGTTACCTCTGATTCTGTTATCATTTATCACATAGATACATATAAAAAAATACAACAGTAATTTAAAAATTTTGTTATTTATTGTTTTTTTTTTTATTGATTTATCGAAAATAGTGACATTAAATATCGCGATTACACATAATACACGATGGTCCGTCTATTATTGATTTATGATTTTTTAGTAAAGTAAAAAAGAAACTAAATGAACGTGTGAGAAAAATAAAACAGGAGTAGAAAGACATATATATGTAAAATATAAGAATAATAGTAATGATAATAATAATAGTAATAATAAAAGTGTTATAATGAAAATTTTCGACGGGTTGCTTTTTTAAATTACAAACAGTGAACTAAAATATAATTTACATAGAACGTAAAGATAATTTTTCAGTCGTTTCTATACAGTACACCTGTTTTTTTTTTTTACTTTTTTCATTAATTATAAGTATAATAATTATTGAGGGATCGTATAAATTGACCACAAAAATGGATTAAAATTTACACTTTAACATTAACTACACGGAAAGAACAAGATGACACTGGATATCATCTCAGATTATACTCAGTGATATCTATGAAAAAAAAAATTTCAGATTGTAGCTAAAAAAAATTCAGATTATCTGGATTATAATTATAATCAAGATTATACTAGCTACTATCTAAAAATTTTTTTTTCACTCAGTATAATCTGGGATGATATCCAGTGTCATCTTATTCTTACCGTGTAACTATCGACTAATTTCAAAAGCAATACTGAATTGTTAGTTACAAAATATTTAATATTTATTATTATTAATTTAATCTCTGTAAAACAATTAGTCTGAAAATTTATAATTGTACGGTATTTTGTTGACACAAGCACAATTTTATAAATATTTGATTAATCATTTATTTCAATTGGCAACATTTATTAATAATTATTATTATTTTATTAATAATAAAAAATATTGGAATTATTTTATAATTCAGTGAATGTTTTCGATGAATGACCGTCTAAAAATGGTTTATTTTTTTTTATACTACGGAATGCAATTGCAACGTTGCTTTGGCAACATCAAAGAAGATACGTATCCACTCCCTATATAATTCAATTTATTTAATTCCTACTTAATATGAACACTCATATATTGATCAAAAATAATCGTAATAATAATAATAAAATATTTTTTATGCTCATTTAACGTCGCTTGTGATTTTGCTCATGTGCTCGTTAATTTTCTTTAGCTGTTACGACATTTACAAAAAATAATAAAGTGGAAAAAAAAATTCTGCTGACAATTGAATAAAAAATATTCGACATTTTGTATTTTTAGCAATTAAAACATCTTGAGCGTTAGACATACATAATAATAATAATAATTATAATAATAATAATTCAATTCAATTATTTGCAGAAATTTTTTTATCCATTACAACTAAATCGTCGCGCCGTTGTACTTTATTTAAATTTACTATTTCATTAAAAAACAACTATTTTAATTAAGCTTTATAATTTCATTCTGTTATTTATTTTTTATAAATTAAATTTATTATTTTTAGATCGATTCATCATAATTATTATTATTAATATAAATTGATTGACATAAGTCACGGAATTATTCAATAATTAAATAAATAAATTCCATTGTGGTATTTATTTAAATGATTTTTTAATAATTATTACTTAAAACTAAAACGTAAATAACGTTTGCAAGAAGCAATAAATTTTTTACATCTCATTGTTACTAATTTTAGCGCAGAACAAAGCTCTTGCTAATTTTTTTAAAAATATAATCGCAATTAAATCAATATTTTTATTTATATATAATTGTAAATTTTTTTTTTTTTTCAAACTTGTGAACATCGCAATACACATTTAAAAAATTCCAAGTACTGCCAATAAATGATATTATTTTTTTTGTTATATAAATATAATTTTTAAATAATAAAAAAATATCTTTTAAATCAATTGAACTTGCAAAAACTAGAAATTGATATTGCAAAAATTGTAATTAACTATTTTACAATAAAAAAAAATTATTATAACGTTAATAAATGAAGTTACAGATTTTACAAAGTCTTTTTTTTTACCATTAAATTTTTTTCGAATTTTTTTTTTTTTAATTTTTATATAATAATTATTTTTTAGAACAAAAATCATTATCTTTGATAAACCTCGGGTATAATTATACAACGAAATAATAAAATAAAAAATAATAATAAGAGATAGAACCGGTAATTTTGATAAGAGAGACATTGGTAGCTCATTGTTGAACGATAGACCGTGTGAATGGGGATGTCTATCTAACAACTAAACCCACTCTCTCCTTTTTCTCCCTCTTACTTTTAAACTATCTTTCTCTATACATACATATATTATTGAAACAAGCCATTGTACATTAGATTCACATTCCATCACGTTCGTAAGTTAGTTTACACACAGCGGCGGACGAGTATGTAATATGCATGTATGTAGTATGTTATGCCATCACATCAACACATCACTATTCACAATCATTCTATTTTTGCGCGTTATTATAAGCGCTGAGTCTCAACATTGTTGGCATAAGGTAAAATCACATGGCAGGCGTGTTGTATATGTTGTTGCTGTTGTAGTTATTACTTTACTTATTATTTTTCTTTATCATTTTTATCATTTTTAGTTTTTATTTTTAAACCACGAGGAATAAAGACTAACTAATTATTCATAATTTATGATTACTAGTCAACCAAGTAAGGCCTTCGTAAAGTCCATCCCCCGTCGTGGCACATGACGGCTGAACATACCAATTTCTATCTCGTATTCTCGTTAAGCCCAGTTTCTCCTGTATTTCGTGTGGCTTCATTGCTACAACATAATTTAAATTCCATTTAATGAATTAGATAATAATTAACTACTGTCTTAGTAATTAAAAACCAACTACTTGCTAATTACTTTCACTTTTATCAGGTTGAAATTACTTTTAAAACGGAGCTAGCGATAACTTTTCCCGTCTTACTTTCCACAAACGTTTAAAATTTAGTTATTTTTACACGGAAAAAAGTAAACTGTAGTTAATGATAGTCGATTTATAATAATGAATGATCAAAAAATTAACATTTTAAACAGTAAAATCGTGATTTTAACGATCATTTTAGAATATTTATCATTTAAATGTTACAATTTATTATTTACATGGAAGAAAATACTATTTTAAAAAGTAATCATCGCAATGTTAAAGCATAATAATTAAGAATTTTGACTGATATTTATCATTTCGTCACCTAAAAAATGATCGCATGATATGTAAAAAATATAAACTAGTTACTAAATTTCTATACAAGCAACGTCAATATTTACAAAGTAAAATGGTAAATTTTAAAAGCAACCCCAAAAATCAAACTATAATTATTGATTTGTTTAAACTGGTAAAATATATATTTTAAGAGTAGAATTTTTACTGTTTCAAATGTTAAATTCTCCCAGTGTGATATCTTCTCATTTTTTTCATAGTATAGACTATATATTGAAACGGCAATTTTTACTGTTTGAAACAGTAATTTTTTAAGATGAGCGAGTCGTTATTTACTATTAGTGACAGCTACTAATCACATTTTCAATATTAAATTATAAATTGTGTTACACTTTCTCCATTAAATTTTGTAATATTTAAATTTGTGCCACCCTGATTTTCGCTGTACTGTTTGAAATTACAAAAATTAACCGGAATACGCGTGAATTTGTTTAATTTTTTCCGTATATTAATAGATTGATAGTAATGTCTTTTAAATTAACCAATTGAAAAAAAAAAAAAAATATATATATTACCATTAGGAAGATCTTGCTTATTGGCAAATACTAATATAATAGCGTCACGCATTTCTCTATCGTTGATAATTCGATGCAATTCTTGACGAGCCTCGTCAATTCGATCACGATCTGCACAATCCACTACAAAAATAAGTCCTTGTGTTCCGGTATAATAATGACGCCAAAGCGGGCGTATTTTATCTTGACCGCCCACGTCCTACAATTATTTGTTTTAAATCATTATTATTATTATTATAACCATAATTATCATAATTTAATAAAACTTAAAATAAACTTACCCAAACATTGAACTTAACATTTCTGTATGTTACTGTTTCCACATTAAATCCTACTGTTGGTATTGTTGTGACAGACTGTCCAAATTTAAGTTTATACAATATTGCTGATAATAATTATTAAGGAATAAAATTGATTAAAAATTTTCATTATTTAATACTATAATAATAATAATAATAATAATAATAATATAAAAAGGATACTAGTTTTTCCAGCTGCGTCTAATCCCAACATAAGGATGCGCATCTCCTTGTTGCCAAATATTTTTGACAAGAGTTTGCCCATCTTGCCTGCCGGCTCACCAATTTATCTATACACACTTCACCTATATCAGTAACAATTATTATAATTAATAGATTACATCATTATTATTTATATTTATACACTCAATTAATATAAGTCTATATAATATGATTAATTTACTCGTTTATATAATTTTATTCACTGTAACGTATTTTTTAATTTTATTAAGTCAAAAAAAAAATCGTAGTTGCTGTTTTATAACTTGAGGTTGTAATTTAAACTGTGAAATCAATCATAATAATGATAATGAAGATGAGAAATAGTGTGAATTAAAAAAAATGTTAGTATCGCAGAAATATGAGCCGATTTACCGAGTAAAAGAATTCCGTGGGTTAGAAAAGGTTAAGTTGTCGTTGGTCGATGGCGTCCAATGAAATTTAATAAATTTAATTTATATAAAAACAACCCAATAGCTGTAAGTAATAGTAATGGCTAATTTACTAGGTATTTAGGTAATATAAATAATAAACTCGTTGTGTATGATGTAGACATATGTAATAATGAAAAATGTGATGCATAAATTCTTGTTAATTTAAATGACAACGAGGACATCCTGAGACACCGTCGGGTAACAGTATTTTATAAAAACCGCTAACACTAATTTTATAACCTTTCAAATCGGACCGTGTGGCTGGTGAATTAAAAAATAATTTTATTTATTAACCAAAAATTAAACACTAAACTCACCAAAAAGCATCTACACCGAGTGAGTAATTTATCATCAACAAACAGGAACATCACAACACATTCTCGCAATCATTTACTATGTATTACTATAATGTGCATCAATGACACACTGGATATTGCTGGTTTACTTTATGGGCTGGATATTCTACTTCAATTCTATTCAACATCCAACACATCTACAACTGCGTCCCTGCCCCAACACACCGACACCTACATTCACTATCGATTGTCGCTATTCGATAGGTCGAAGTCGATCGCTGGGAGAGTCACTACTTTTTGGCGGGTTTTCAAAGTACAATGGTACTGAAGTTAGCTGAGAGCTGTCAATTTTTTTAATTTTTATAACAAATTAAATTTAATTGAAAAAATAAAAAAAATAATACTGAAGTTAGCCATGAAAATTAAGTTTGCCGACATTTAAAAATTTTTAGAATTTTTTTTTATTGAATAAATGATTACAAAAAAATAAAAAAAAAATTTCACTTGCAAAAAACTTTTTAAAAATATTTTTTTGTTCTAATTTAATTATTAAAAAATTAAAAACGTCCGATAACTTTATTATTATGAGACGGCACTAAAAAATTTTTGATTTTTTTTATTAGTTGAGAATTATAACTAAAAAACTATTTTTCAAAAGAATTCCACGGATAATTTTTTGAATTTTCTACATGTGAAAATTTTTCTTTTTTATTTTTCAATAATATAAATTATCAAAATTTTCAAATGTCGGCATTTTTAATTTTCATTTTAATATTTTTAATTTTTATAACAAATCAATTACAATTCAAAAAAATGCTTCTAAAAATTTTTATAACATAAAAATTAGCAATCACTTGATCATTTTTTACTTTTTTTTAACAAATAAATTTTTTTTAAAATATGCATTTTTAATTTTATTAAAATTTCTACATGACAATTTTTTTTTGTCGTAATTTACTTGTTACAAAAATTATTAAAACTATAAAATATCTGCTAAATTAATTTTTATAAAATTTTTTTGTTTTTTAAATAAACTAGGTCTAAAAAAATATTTAAAAAAAATTGCATTTATAATTTTTTAGAGCTTTTAAAGATAAAATTTTAAAAATAAATTTTTCTTGCTATAATTTATCAGTTAAAAAATTTAGTGTCAATAAAATACATGATACATATGTGTAATAAGTTTGCTTTAAACTGATATTAAAATTTTTTAATCATAATTATGATAGAAAAAAATCAATGTATGATTTAATATTATATTTATTTAATGGACAATTTTAGTTGCAATTATTATGTACAATTTTCCAAATATTACAATAGAATACGCAATTAATATTTAATTATTTATAATTAGTATAACATGAAGAATAATAATATTAATAATAATGAAGAAAAATTGTATGTTTACTTTTGAATTGCGAGCACACCTGTACACTCATTAATTACTTTATCATATTTATATAATTGTAGTCATGAATAACGCCTAATAAATTGATCATAAGTTGGACGAAATTGTTTCATAGCTCATAGCGTCTAAAAGTATAAATTTCTATCGCTCGTGATTTTTTAATTAAATAATAATTACTGCAGAATACTTGTTCATATGATTTTAAAGTAACTAACTAATTAATTAATATCATCGATATATATTTATGTCATTAATAATCAATAGATGACTTTAGTATGAAATAAATATAAAAAAAATGAAAACTTAAGGAAGTATTATTTCCTGGAAGTGTGATGTAACGATGAAAAAAATAGAGATTTTTTTAATTTGTTCCTTTTTTACATGCAAAAAATGATTTTATGAGATGATAAACTTTAATTAAATAAAACTGAATTGGGGTCTTCGTCATCTAGCTGTTTTACGTGTCGTAAAACATCTTTTTTCGTAATCACTCCCAATAGTCGTCTGTAATAATTTAAATCAGTATTATTTTAATGACTAATATCATTCTTGTAAATAGTATTAAATATTTACCCATTGTGAGTTACAAGTGTTTGACGTAGACCTAATTTTCTAAACATATCAACGACTGTTTCCATCGGAGTTTGATCAGTAATAGTAATAGGCGCCATATCTAGTATTTTCTTCAATTTCAAAGGCGTTGATGTGTGAACTGGTAAATTATTACCGCTAGTAAAGATAACTAAAGACTGTCTCGTTATACCATCCATTATTTTTTTAGCATTGGCGATGGCAAGATTTAAATCACGCCGTAAAACAAAACCCACAAGATACTGTGACTCTTTGGATACTATTACAGGGAATCCATTATGTTCCGTTTCTTTTAGAAGATTCTCTACGTCCTCGACGGTCATTGAATCTTGAGTTAATACGTGTAATGTTTCATTACGCCTGTAAATAAATAAATTAATACTAGCAACCTTGCAGTCTCTATGTGACTTGTGAACTATAATTAAATAAAATTTTGCTTTATTAAATAATGACTTTTTGTTAAATTGCACTGTATTTTCTTAAATATTGAAATTTTTTAAGATATAAGCTCATCCCGATGTTACACTCATCGAGAGCTTTCATTTGAATACCTATATGCATTTTGATATATTTTTCATATATACATATATATAATATATATAAATATATGAAAAATTGATGTGGATACTCAAATGAAAGGTCTTGATGAGTGTAATGTCGGGGGTGAGTTTATATCTTAAAAAATATAAAAAATATCATTAGTTGACAAGATAGCAAAGTTAGTTCTTAATTATTGAAATTTTTTTAAGATATAAGCTCATCCCGATATTACTCTCATCAAGAGCTTTCATTTGAGTACCCACATGCATGTTTGATATATTTTTCATATATACATATATATATATATATATAAATATATGAAAAATTGATGTAGGTACTCAAATGAAAGGTCTCAATGAATGTAATTTCGGGATGAGCTTATATCTTTAAAAATATCAATAGTTCACGAGATACAAGGTAATTATTTCCTCATTATGTATCTAGAGATAGAGTATTTTCGAATGCAACCTAAATACTTAGTCATCATAGATTGACTATCTGTATAGACTAATTTAAAAAAATTAAATTAAAACTCACTTTGGTTGCATAACATCAGCAGCAAGTGTTGTATGCTGAAATTCGTCTTTACTGTCCAAAAATGGATATCCATTGAGTCCAATATGCGCGTCATATATTCCCTGTTTACCGAGCGCATCGCCGACCCATTTACTGGCCATAGCAGCTGCCATTAGTGGAACAATATATCTTACTCCACCGGTCAATTCAAACATTATTACTACGAGAGACACTGTCATACGTGTAACACCTCCCAGTACAGCTGCTGCACCAACCATAGCATATAAACCAGGTGTTATACAATCAGTGCCGATAGTACACTCTTCGCTAAACATCCAAATATGAGGATAATTATATGCGAGCTGTTCCATTCCGATACCAACAATTCGTCCGACAATTGCTCCAAGACATAATGACGGTATGAATAATCCACATGGTACTTTAATACCGAATGTGAATATTGTCATGACTAGTTTCATTATTAATGTCAGTACTAAAAACCATACGGCTTTGTAAACTCCTGGTTCAGCTCCAGCAGTTTCAATTGTTGAATTGAAATTCGTGAAATTTCGCTGATAGTCACTGAAAATTATTATTATTATTATTAAACTAACTATTTGTCAGATTTGATTACTACATTGTTAAAAAATTTTTTGCTTACCACAGCATGTCACTGTTTGATACACCACATTTTCTAAATAGTAAGTATATCAATTGACTCGTACTCATTTTTGTATACGGATTTGGAAATGCTATCACTGCTGTTATTACAGTAACAACTAAAACTTCAGTGACTGGATATTGACCAAGCTTTGAAGTTTTTCGATAGCGACACCAAAATAAGTTCGCTTTAATAAATAATGCTGCAATTACTCCCTGAAATACGACACGTTTAATAATTTTTGTGTATTAAATTTATGTTTTAAAATTAGTACAGTAATAATAACTTACTCCAATAATTCCAAGCATTACAAATGGTATTAATTCAAAAAATATCCAGGGTTTATTGTACTCGACGTAAAATAATACCGAGTGTTCGTTGCCGAATGGATTAATTGAACGTAATACGAAAGCTGCTATCAAGGCACAAAAAAACGATCGCCATAATGTTTTCAGAGGAAAGTAATAGCTCACCTAGAAATTATAAGATTAATTATTGATTATTAGTGTATATTAAAATTTTTATAATTAATAGTCTTACTTCTTCAAGACTGAAAAGTACACCACCAATTGGCGCTCCAAAAGCAACAGAAACACCAGCAGCTGCAGCGGCTGACAAAATTTCTCTCTTTTTAGCCTCATTTCTTCCGTACTTTGGAAATAAATAAGAAAATATATTTCCTATACAACACGCGATATGAACCATTGGGCCTTCTTTACCCAAACTCAATCCAGCAGATACTGAAAGGATTAGACCAACTGACTTAATTATCAACGTCCATTTACCCAAGTATCCACGAATAATAAAACCACTGAGAATTGTTTTTATCTGTAAATAGATTGATTAATTAGAATTACAAAATTTTTTATCTATAGAAATTATAGTTCATTTAGATATAAATAAAATTACAAACCTCTGGAATACCAGAACCACATGCATAAGGAGCAAACATCCTGACAAGAGATGCAGATAGTGATGCAAATAGTAAAGCCCACGCTATATAAAAGAAATAAGAAACTATATAATGTCCTGCGCCTTCTTTAGACTGGCCGAAAATTTCAGCCCACTCCATCCACTAAAAATAAAAATAAATAAAAATTTTTCCGCTGTTGAAATTTATTTTTTGTCTTTATAATTTAAATACCTGGGAGCAATTTCCATCATCAAAAATCGAGTCACTGTAACTCCAGCAACATTGTTCTTTGTTTAACCAGAAAGCACCAGGACATATACCGAATTTAAGGTCAGTCATCCAAGATGCTCCAATATCAACAACACCAGCAGCGACTCCAGTAAATAAACCGACTAAAAGAACACACAGCCATCCAGACCATGCGTCGTGAGCTCCCTTAACAAGGTCCCAAATAGAATCGTGTTTTTTCTTTATGATGTACCGATGTCGCATCCGATCTCGTGCTATATCTCGCTGCCAATCGATCGTATGGAAATCCTCATACTGGCCAATTCCTGGGATGTCATCTGCTTCTGCCGAAACTTTTTAACAAATGGGATGATTCAATAAATTAAATATTCATTATGTATATTATTAAGAGAATAAGAAAAATTTTGTTTCCCGGATAGTCATATGATAAAATCGGTTTTTTTAGTGAAATTTAATGTCATTGCAAAGATACATAATTAAGAAATTACCGTGTATCTTGTGAATTATTGACATTTTTAAAGATATAAGCTTATCCCAATGTTACGCTCATCAAGACCTTTCATTTGAGTACCCACATCAATTTTTCATATATTTATATATATTATATATAAGAATACATGAAAAATATATCAAAATGCATGTGGGTACTCAAATGAAAGCTCTTGATGAGTGTAACATCAGGATGAGCTTATTTTTATAAAAATTCAATAATTAAGAACTGACATGGCTATCTTATTAACTAATGATATTTTTGAAGATATAAGCTCATCCTGATGTTATACTCATCAAGACCTTTCATTTGAGTACCCATATCAATTTTTCATATATTTATATATTTATATATATGTATATATGAAAAATATATAAAAATACATGTCGGTACTCAAATGAAAGCTCTTGATGAGTGTAATATCGGGATGAGCTTATATCTTCAAAAACGTCAATATTAAAGAAAGTACAGTGTAATTAAACAAAAATTCATTATTTAATAAAGCAAAATCTTTTTTTTTTTTTATAGTCCACAAGTCAACGCAGTCACGTAGTGACTGCAAAGTTGCTAGTATTTATATAAATGAATATAAATTAATGCTTACAATGAGATGAAGCATCATCTAAACGTAAGCTACGTTCTAGGTAAGCATTGTTCCCAGTGTTGGAACTAGCTTGATGACTCTGGTCACCCATATCGTCTCCGCTGCTCAAGCTTCCAGCACGATTTAGAGCACTGCTTCTCAGCCGAGCGTCACCATTACCATCAAGACCATTCGTTGTCTAAAAAATAAATCATAACTTTTTTTTCAATAAAATTAAAAAAAAATATTTTTTTAAACGAAATAATATTTACAATTGTACGTAATTACAGCATGCAAGTACGTAAATTAAAACAAACCAGCCAATTTCAAATAAACATATTTTTGTAGGTGAGAAAGCGTGCAGAGGGTCATTATCAAGATAAGAAAAAAAGAAATTGAAGAAATAATAATAATAATACATTTTATCAGCAATGAAAACAATAATCTAGTGTTTAAAAAAAATATCTGAAAATAATAAACATAACAATAAAATAATAAATGCGTTGCCTAAAAAATGATACAGGTGTTTATTCTTACTTCTGGTATTAACCGCTGACTGCTGATATCCCCAGCACCCGAGCGGTTTTTAGTCAATTTTAATTCGAGATACGTGGTGTTATTTTATTATTATTAATATCATTAAATAAAATTGTTATTTTATTTTTTTTTTTTGTTTTTTAGTAGTCCAACTTAATTTAAATACACCTTAGTCCTTAGTAGTTTAGGTAAGTAAATAGTTTCTTCAGACAGTTTAATTCTGGAATAGGAGTTACATAAATGTTTGTCTAAGTTAGGTCACTAGGAAAAATACAGAAGCATAGCAAGTATTTAGACATCTAGTATAATTTATTACAGCAATCATCAATTGTCTCATAAATAATTTCATTGTACATTTAAATTACACTAGTTACCTGAGCAGCTGAAACAGAGTTGTAGGTCGTACCCAAAACAGGGGAAGAAACAGCAGTATTATGACTAAAATTACTCAGCGATGATGTACCTTTCAATGGAAACTTCTCCATATTATTTCCTTGATCTAGTTTACAGATAGGGACAAAGAATTTCATTTTTACAGCGTAACACATTTAATGGCTAATTTTTTAAATTAAATTTATAATTGTCAAACCAAGTCAACAACCGAGAGCATATCAAATAATACTATTCCATTTAATAAATATTCAATTGGCTGTGTAGCTTATTAAGATATGACAAACAGATAAAAATCTTATCCAGATTAACTAGAAGAATTATGTATTATTGTTTGTGTTAAATATATTAATTAATATTGTTATTATTTTAAATCTTGACCAGACCATCTCCACATGTGAATTGTCATTCAATATCGGTTAAATATTTACGATACCCGCAAAATTAATTGACAATACTAAAGTTAGCCGACGGTTTTAATTTTTATTTATTAAATTGGAGCAAAAAAATTACTTTTTAAAAATTGCACTCAAAGTTATTCAAGTTTTTTACAAGTGAATGTTTTTTTTTTAATGATTTTTTAAATAAAAAAAAATTATAAAAATTTTTAGATGTCGGCTAACTTAATTTTAATATTAATTAATGTCTTGACTGGCATTATCAAAAAATACTACCTTAATTAATGCGAAGTTAGCAGACATTTAACAATTTTTTATTAATTAAATTAGAACTAAAAAAATATTGTAAAAAATTCCATGCATTGTTTTTTAAATTTTCTACATGAGGAATTTTTTAAAAATTTTTTTGTTCCAAATTTTTCAATAAGGAAAATTCTAAAAATTGTCAGGTGTCTGCTAACTATAATAATAAAGTTAGCCGACATTATTATTTTGCTTAATTTATTAAATTATAACTAAAAAATATTTTTAAAAAATAGCACTTATAGTTTTTGAAGTTTTTAACAAATGAAAAAAATTTTTTTTGTTATAATTTTTTAATAAAAAAAATCATACAAATTTTTAGATGTCTGCTAACTTTATTTTCATTCTAAATTAATTAAAACTCAATTTTAACAAATTAAAAAAAAATTAGTCAGCTGATTACTGGAATTTTAAATGTCCCTTATCCCCAATCATTTTTTTTTACAAGTATATCATGAAGTAAATGTGGTTAAGTGTATCATGTAGATTGAATTACCTTGACCATGGATATGATAGCGTATTCATGCATCACGTATCATGTGTACGTGTATTTATAGATAGATAAATCAATTTGACACATCCACGCGATATTTCATTTTCTTCAATTACACAAATCTTCAACTCACCATTTCTAAAGTCGTATGCTCTTGATAGTTCTTAATATCACTCGAAAACATTCAAATTTGACAGATAAGTTCTTCTCATAGAATTTTATACATCCATTTTACTTAAATTTTGACTTTTCCCCTGTGACCTGGAATTAATAAATTTTTCAGGTTAATAAACGTTCCAATTGTTGTAATTTCAATGTGAAAAGACAACATACGTTTCAACACACAAATGACTTATTGTTAAAAAAAAAAAATGTTGATCATATGATATAAGTTTTGTACGTGCCAATCTCAGTGACAGATGGAAACACATACAAATTACCTACGTACCAGTACGTACAAGTATTGCACAAAGCACTTGGGAATTAGTGGGTGGAAAAAAATGTTGTTTTTTTTTTTAATTTATTGCTAAAACATTCTTCAATAGTTTGACAGCTTTTCTCTTGTCGTGTCATTCATGAAAATGTTGCTTTAATTCAATCACAGCGCCATTGGAAATTCTCCCGACTGACCTGTCATCTATCAGACATTTAAATAAAATGGCGCGAGTTATTTTGAATCTGTGGGAAAAAAAATGGTGACCCAGTTTATAAACAATAATACAGTTAGCCGACATTTTTAATTTTTGGATTTTTTTTCATTTATTAAATAACAACTAAAAAATATTTTTTAGAAATTACACTTATAGTTTTTCGAATGAAAAATTTTTTTTTAATAATTTTATCAATAAAAAAAAATTCTAAAAATTTTTAAGTGTCGGCTAACTTAATTTTTCATACCCAGTTTTATCAATGGAATAAATTAAAATGTCAATAAGTATTACAAATAAAATAATCTGAATATATATCACGTTATTTTTATTTATTTATTTTTTTTTTTTTTTATAAAAATATGAATTTAATTGATTAATTGTTTTTATATTTTTTAGGTCAAGGTTAAAATATGTAATTGCAAAATTATGAATGGTGATTAAGAATTAATAATTACTTGAAAAATATTATTATTATTATCAATAACAATAAAAATGAGAATTTCACAAGTTGGTAAGATTTAAAAAAAAAAATTGATAAGTGATAAAATTAAAACTTATCAATTATCACTGAGAACATTCTGGTGCTATTAATAAAGTCAATCAGTGGACAGGTAATTAAAATGTCATTAAATTTAGCAGATATTTGCAAAAAAAAATTGGCAGAAATTTTAAAAAATTAAAAATGCAATTTTTTAAAAATAATTTTTTGGAACAAATTTTTTTATTAAAAAATTCTCGAGTGATTGCTAACTTTAATGTCATGTAATTAGAAAAATGTATATACGAGGTTAAATAGGAAATCAAAGTCTCGTAATTTTAATATTCTAATTAAATTCCAATGGACATATTTACAAGAATTTAAAAAGTATGTGTGTTGTGTTGATGATCGTCCCGGTGAGGAAAGGGACGCAACCAGTTACCAGTAAAGCGAAGTGGGGGTTTGACTACGTAACAACGAGAGACAAAACTAGCAAAGCAATAGTTTGTTGAAGCAAGAGAGCAACAGTCGCACCGGCAAAGTAGGTTGTGGAGGTATTGAATTGTCATGTCTGTCTTTCCCCGTTGCCGCTTGATCAACACAAATTTCATTCGCCCGACAACCTTCTCATCGCACTCGAGTATTACTTTCCTTGACAAGAGGACTTTGAACACAGAGCGATCCCAACACAGGTCTTTGCTTAGCAGCTCAATTACCCAGTCAATTAGAACATTCAGCTGTACTTCTGTAGCCATGGCTAAAATCAAGGTAAATACTTTCTCTATTTTATTTTAATTTATTCCATTAATATTTACAATAATACTGACACAAATAATAAAATTCACATCTTAAATTATCATTTGACTAAAAACGACGCAACATTTGTTTACTAAGTAACGTATGTTATTGTGTTGATAAAGCTAACGACATTTTTATCTTAATTACCAGGCGGGGCCAGTAGTGGACATCTTGGGCGATGAAATGACTCGCATAATTTGGGAGTCAATAAAAGAAAAATTGATCCTTCCCTACTTGGACATCGAATTACACGTCTATGATCTTGGTATCGAGCACCGTGATGCTACGTCAGACCAAGTGACAATAGACTGCGCAGAGGCGATCAAAAAGTACAACGTTGGCATTAAGTGCGCTACAATAACTCCAGATGAGAAGAGAGTGGAGGAATTCAAGCTTAAGCAGATGTGGAAGAGTCCCAATGGAACTATTAGGAACATTTTAGGCGGTACTGTATTCCGGGAAGCAATTATCTGCAAGAATATACCGCGGCTGGTCACCGGATGGAACGAGCCGATAATTATTGGCAGACATGCCTTTGGAGATCAGTACAGAGCCACTGATTTTGTGGTACCGGGTGCTGGAAAGTTGGAGATATCATGGACAGGGACTGACGGAAATAAAATCCTCCACACTGTCCATGAATTTAAAGGAGCTGGAGTTGCTCAAGCTCAATTCAACACTGATGAGAGCATACGCGATTTTGCACACAGTTCATTCGAGTACGCGCTTTCAAGAAAGTACCCTCTGTACTTGTCTACAAAGAACACAATTCTCAAGAAGTACGATGGAAGATTCAAAGACATTTTCCAGGAGATTTACGAAGCCAAGTACAAGAGCAAGTACGAGGCAGCTAATATTTGGTACGAGCACCGGCTGATTGATGACATGGTTGCCTATGCCATGAAATCTAACGGAGGATTTGTTTGGGCTTGCAAAAATTATGATGGGGACGTGCAATCTGACTCGGTTGCTCAAGGCTTTGGGTCTCTGGGTTTGATGACCTCGGTGCTGCTGTGTCCCGATGGCAAGACTGTTGAAGCAGAAGCTGCCCATGGAACGGTAACTAGACACTACCGTCAGTACCAGCAGGGAAAAGAAACTTCTACTAATCCTATTGCTTCTATCTTTGCTTGGACTCGGGGACTTCTTCATCGCGCTAAACTCGATAATAATCAAGCTTTGAAGAACTTTGCCGAGACACTTGAAAAAGTCTGCATTGATACGATTGAACAGGGCTTTATGACCAAAGATTTGGCGATTTGCATCAAGGGCATGGATAAAGTCAAGCGGTCTGATTATCTTGAGACTTTTGAATTCATGGACAAGCTTGCGGATAATCTTAAAAAAAGTCTTGGGAAATGAAGCCAAAGGTCGGCTGGGTTTAAATGTCATCTATAGTTCATGTATACTTTGTTTTTGTAAGTGTAATTTTTTTTAATTTTATACAGATTTGGAAGATTTTTTATCATTCCATTTTTATGCATTTTTATCATGTGGCAATATGGCAAAGAAAATATATATGAATTTTTTCAATTTTAATATATTAAATAAATAAAGATAATATAAATCAATAATTTACTTGTTTAAATTTTTTTATAGTAATTAGAAACCTTCTTTACCGATCAATTTATATATCCATATCCTGTCTTATTTATCAACTGAACAAATGCATGTAAAAAAAAAAAAAATATGTGTGGTCAGTTTTGTGTTGATCCACGTGCTCTCAAATATTTTTAAAAGGTTATTGTTATTAAATTGTAACAATGGAAGTAGAAAGTAACATTGAATGTTTTTGGAGTGATCTTAAAACTCACCCAAAATGTCCTCACGGTATTTATCATAAATTTTTTATTTTAGACTAGATAATAATCTTAATAAAAATGTTAATGAAAATTAAGTTAGCCGACGTTTTTAATTTTTTTTTTTTATTGATTAAATTAGAACATAAAAATATTTTTTAAAAATTGCACTTACAGTTTTTTAAGTTTTTTTACAAATGAAATTTTTTTTAATTTTTTTATAATAATTTTTTCAATGAAAAAAAAAAATTCTGAAAATTTTTAGATGTCGGCTATCTTAGTTCTCATAAAATGTTATTGTTTATTAGGACCAACTTTATTATTTGCAATGCGTGTTAAGGATGACCTGAAACATTTTTACGCTTGCTCGGCCTGCCGAGATCGAAAGCTGTGTAAATTTTATTTAAAAAAAGACGGAGAGCTGACAGAAAATGAGAAAAAAAAATGGCAAAATGAAATTAAAACTTACAGCCAAATGTATAATCACCAGAAAAGTTACATACGATTTCATGAATTGCTTTCTGAGCAACCTGAAAGAAGAGCGTATTGTCATACGTGTGAGAAATTAATTTCAGTTAATGAAATTTCTAAACATCCAGAGCATGAAGTTGTCAAGAATATCTCCAATGACCAGATGTACAACCCTACAACTCTATTGAAACCTCGTACTGACTCTAAAAAGGAGGCTCAGTATTTATTTTCAAAGAAAGCGACTTCTGAAATTGTTGATTTGTTGATAAATCTTGGAGCCAAGCATGTTTTGTGCATTGGAGCTCCTAGAATTCATGAACATATTTCTCAAAATCATGAGGATAAATTGTCTAGTCTTTTGCTAGACTTTGATGGAAGATTTGTGAGTAGTGTCTTTTATTAATAATTTAATGACACTGAAGTTGACAGACATTAAAAATTTTTTTAGAATTTATGGCAATTAAATTAATGAAAATTAAGTTAGCCGACATTTAAACATATTTAGAATTTTTTTTTATTAAAAAAATTATTACAAAAAAATTTTTAAAAAAATGTCACTTGTAAAAAACTTCAAAAACAATAAGTGAAATTTTTTAAAAATATTTTTTTGTTTTAATTTAATTATTAAACAAAAATCAAATAATTAAAAACTAATTTCAGTATCAAATAATTTGTTGTTATTAATTTAAATTTACTAACTACTTGTTTTTCAATTGCAGCATGATTTTTTCGGACCTCTGAGCTTCTGCTGGTACAATCTGTTCAATCATCACTTTTTTAATAAAGAATCACAGTCTGTATTCAAAGATTTCATAACACAGAATAACGGAAAAGATATTTATGTGGTATGTGACCCACCGTTTGGTGGTAGGGTTGAACCTATGTCGCAAACTATTAAAACCATCAGCGATTTACATAAGAAATGGAATGGATTATCTCAAGATGATGAACTGAAAGTAATGTTATTTATGCCATATTTCATGAAATCAATCATACAATTTAAATCAAATCCTGCTGGTGTGGATGGTGGTTTGAAAGAGTTAAAAATGGCTGAGTATAAAGTTGACTATGACAATCATACCTTGTTCGGTTCTGGGTCTAATGGACGAAAGTTTGGAAGTCCTGTTCGTATTTTTACAAACATTCCGCTCAATTTGATCAAACTTTTGGAGGATGATGGATACAAGTATTGCAAAAGGTGCGACAAATGGGTCGGAGCTGAAAACAAGCATTGTAAAAAATGTAAAGCTTGTACAAGTGAAGACGGTAGACGGTACAAGCATTGCAATATTTGTAATCGCTGTGTTAAGCCTACTTGGAAGCATTGTCAAAAATGTAAGCGTTGCGCGCTTGAAAAACATTTCTGCGGGTCAAAACCTAAAATTAGTGGTCATTGCACTGAATGTAATAAGACAGGTAATTCATTTTTTTTATTTATTTATTATTTTTTATTGAAATATTTTTTTCACTATGTGACTACCGTGACGTAAACTATAAATAAATAACATTTTGCTTTATTAAATAATGAATTTTGTTAAAATGCACTATACTTTTTTAATTATTGACATTTTTAAAGATATAAGCTCATCCTGATGTTACACTCATCAAGAGCTTTCATTTGAGTACCCACATGCATTTTTATAGATTTTTTAATATATTCATATATATAAATATATCAAATATATGAAAAATTGATGTGAGTACTCAAATGAAAGGTCTCGATGAGTGTAATGTCGGGGTGAGCTTATATCTTTAAAAATGTCAATAAGTTACATACAAGAAATAAGGTCAATTGATGTGGGTGCTTAAATGAAAGGTCTCGATGAGTGTAATGTCGGGGTGAGCTTATATCTTTAAAAATGTCAATAGTTCACAAGAAATAAGGTCATTTCTTAATTATTGACATTTTTTAAGATATAAGCTCATTTCGATGTTATACTCATCGAGACCTTTCATTTGAGTACTCACATGGCATTTTTCATATATTTGACATATATGGTATTAATGAAATAAATATAATATATAAAATATATGAAAAATTGATGTGGGTACTCAAATGAAAGGTCTCGATGAGTGTAACATCGAAATGAGTTTATATCTTCAAAAATATCATTGGCTGACAAGATAGCAAAGCCAGTTCTTAATTATTGAAATTTTTTAAGATATAAGCTCATCCCGATGTTACACTCATCAAGAGCTTTCATTTGAGTACCCACATGCATTTTGATATATTTTTTATATATACACATATATAATATATATATAAATATATGAAAAATTGATGTGGGTACTTAAATGAAAGATCTTGATGAGTATAACATCGGGATGAGCTTATATCTTTAAAAATGTAAATATTTAAGAAAATACAGTGCATTTTAACAAAAGTCATTATTTAATAAAGCAAAATTTTTCTTATTCTCTTAATAATATAGATTTATTTATTTATTTATTATTTTAGATCATGTTAGTAAAGACTGCCCAGAAATTGTTGGTGCTGTGAATGACTCTTCAGCTAAATCATCAAAGAAACGAAAGGCTAGTGATGATAATTCAATGAAAAATAATAAAAAACAAAAATTAAATGGCTCAGATACAATTGAGGTGAAGAAGAATAAGAAGAAGAAAGATAATAAAATAAAAAAACATCAGGAGGATGAAATAGTTGAGGAAGAAAAAATTAATGCAGTAGAATTTACTGAGAAGATTAAGTTAGAAAAAACCAAGAAGAAAAAATTAAAAATCAAAGGTGTAAGAGGAGAAATTACTGAAACAAGCAAAGAAAATGGACACGTAAAAGAAAAAACAACTGATAAAACAACTAACGGAGAAAAAAAAGGCAATGACAATTCTAAAGTGAAGAAAAAAAAAAGGAGTTTAACAGAACTAGAAAGCGGTTCAAAAATAATGTTACATAAGAAAGTTAAAAATGTAAATTCAAAGTTAAATTTGAAAAAGATTAGCAAATAAAATTTTTTAATAATATATTGTATGTTTGTTATTCATTATTGTAAATCCCGTAGCTATTATACAATGACGTAGAGCATAAGATAATATCTTTATATGCCTTTAAGCATAAAAAAATAATCTTGAGAGTGCCCTATTGTGAGTTATGATCCCGGCATTCTTGTAGTGAACGTTTTTAGAATTTTAAATAACTAATTGTAGTGAAATGTATAAAAACCTTGGCGCTCTTTTGGTTGTCAGCAGAATACTTTCTTCCACCGAGTTAGCAGCAACGAAAAATTTAGTGAGCTGCTAACAGTTATCAAGGCTCTGAAAAGAAGAAGAAAAAAATAATAAATTTTATCAAAAAAAATGATGCATAAAATTCTGCTGGTATTTTTTTTTATCAATTCTAGTTTCGCGTGTCTTATTACTAACTGCCCACGAGGAGGAAAACGCGGAGAATCTCCATTACTATCAATGCCAAGTTTGATAAAAGAGGTAAGTCTATCAGTTTTGTAATAAGATGTAATTAAATTAATTAATTAATTATTTCAGTGTTCAAGTTGTGGACCTGGTGATCAAGGACAATGTTTTGGACCTCATATTTGCTGTGGAGCGACTATTGGCTGCTACATCAGAAGCCCAGAAACTTATAAATGTCGTAAAGAAAGTCTTCACTCGCACCCTTGTGTCTCTGGTTTTGCAATGTGTCGGGATAATACTGCTAGATGTGCCGCCAATGGTATTTGCTGCTCTCAAGGTAATTTTTAACTATATTTTCTTTGAAAATAATTTGATATAATAAAATTTTGAATTAATTTAATCTGCAGAAAGTTGTTTCCTGGATTCATCATGTAAAATTGGAGATGAATACTTGAGCGACCGCAAAATTGATCAAGAATTTCCAAGACTAATTGGTGAAACTGACCAAATGATTAATTAAACAATTTTAATTGCCTAATTATTAAAAAAATAATTCATAAAAATATTTACTTACTTGGAATATAGTGTAAAATGATATCGCCTCATAAATAAACTAAAATGCTGCTACAATTATAAAATAATTAATTTTTCTTATTTACCTTCATTAAATTAAGACAACTTTCATTAATTTCATCAATTACAGCTTTGGCATTCTTTAATTAATTATTTTAATTATATTTTTTTTGGTATTAATAAATATTTATGACATTTAAGTTAGCAGTCTCTCAACAATTTTTTAATTTTATTTATTAAAAAATTTGTTCCAAAAAATTATTTTAAAAAATTACAGTTTTTATTTTTTAAAATTTCTACATGTCAATTTTTTTTTCTAATTTATTTGCTATAAAATTTTTTAAATTATTAAATAAATGCTAAACTAATTTTCATTTAATATTTATTAATAATATAATGTACTTAACTAATAAAATTATATTTTAGAATTTTTAATCTGGATGTAAGTTGAAAGATTCCGCCGGTTTTAATAGAGGGCGTGAAAAAGAATCACGCGCCACCTAGTATCAAGAAAGTAAATCACATGTGTTAACTTGTGACGTAAATAAAGATGGCGGAGATCAAGGAGAATAATAAAAGAGGAAAAACACAACACAAGTGAAAAGTGGAATTATTCGTCTGGTGCGACGAAATTCGACGTATATAAATATTTAATTTTAATTAACAAGCAACAAGCTTGCTTAAGAAATTGAATTAATATTAAAATTAAAATTATTTTTGACTATAACAAGTAAATAATTACCTATAAACATTAATCATGGCGATGTCAAAGACGACAAATACATATAACAGACAAAATTGGGAGGATGCTGTAAGTATAACCTATTCTTATTACTTATTACCTTGACTATTTTATTTCAACGTGAAATTTTTCATTGTTATTAACTGTAATTTTTGTCTTCCAGGAGTTTCCAATTTTATGCCAGACATGCTTAGGTGACAATCCTTACATAAGAATGGTGAGTAATTTCTAAAAATTAAAAATTAATAATATGAAAGTTAGCCAACGTTTTTAATATTTTGATTCTTTTTCAATAATTAAATTAGAACAAAAAAAAACATTTTTTTTCTAATTTCATTTAGAGTTTTTAAAGTTTTTTACAAATGAAAATATTTTGTATTTCTATTATATATATATATATATATATATATATATATATATATATATATATATATATATATATATATATATATATATATATATATATATATATATATATATATATATATATATATACAT